TTACGTGAAGGCGCGGTTTGCCGACTGGGTGCAGGTGATTGCATAGGTAGCTTGGATTTAGCGGATGTTTTCTCTATGTACCAAAAGTATGCGATATGACGGCCGATCATAATGTACAGCTTCGAGCTGAAAACTTCTATACCAATACTGAATGTATTCACATTTTCCTCTCGCGTCGGGTAGTGAATTCCCTCTACCATCTCACACCAGCAAAAAGACGAAACAACTTCCCATCTTCTCGCCACGCTTACTACTAGACTTTGAATACTCTTTTGGACATAGTATTCTATACAAAAAGGCAAAAAGAACAGCTTTCAATGGTCACTACGAGGGTCGAACTCGCGACCTTGGCGTTATTAGCACCACGCTCTAACCAACTGAGCTAAGCGACCGGGTTTTGTTGTTGTTCGATGAAGAATTGTGCAGTAAAACATTTTATAATCATAGTATTGTCACGCTGAAAAGCGAGTTCCTGTAGAGCACTCACTCCTCGGACTGGTGAGCGCGATGTCATGGTAAGGGTCCTTCCTTCCAATGTGGATTGGAGTCAGAGGTGCGGGGCAAGGCGGGGCACTCGTCCTGGATATGGTAGAGGGAAGTCACCACCTGACACGAGAAGAGATCTGAATACGGACTTTGTACGGGTTGGTAGGAATAGGCTAGGAGGCTACCTTGACTTGGGACATGGTATAATTTTGGTTCGTAGGCTTGTGTATGCTACACTCCTGTGTGGGGTTATATTGTACGAGTGATGTAACAAACAAGCCAGAAGTCTACATTGCCTTAGACAGGTGTAAAATTTGGATCTCACACTGATGTAGGCTGCACGCCTGCCCAACTATTTACTTGTGCTAGGTAGAATAATACATGTGCGAAGCAACAACATAATCAGCCAATAGTAACTCCCGACTGCATTTCAGACAATACTGTTATAGTAGCTTCCTGTGTGCTCTCTGAGAGAAGTCGCAGTTGTCTGCATACGTTCATTGTTCATATATACCGTACAATCATGCCGTCATGATATCGCGCCTCCAAGGCCATTGCTACACCTTCGGTACAGCATCCCCAACACTTCCCATATCCATACTCAGCGCATCTCTACACGCGCCACCCTCGCACACCATAACACCCTCAGTCCCCTTATCCATGCTCTTTACAAGCGCGTTCCGCTGACTTAGCCACTCACCCTTACCCTTTCCCACTCTACTAACAGTACCAAGACCAGCCGGCCGCTCCCGATACCGCTGCAGCCACTCATCGACCCTTTGACCTTCACCCGTGATAACGCTATGCCTGATACCGAGCTTACCAACAACGACCGCATCCATCATACTCGGGAAAAGGAAGGGGTGTTGCATAATCTCCGCTTCGAAAGCAGACGCCGTATCCCGTGCTTTCTTGGTATACTCCTCGTCTTCTAGCAGCGCACCCAGACGGTCTAGGTTCTGCGCTGAAACGCCGTTTGTGCCTGGTTCAGCGTTATCCATGCCGTCTTTCAGCCGCATGATGAGGTCTTGCTGGTTTTCGGGTGTGGAGAAGAATCCGAGATGTTGTTTGTCCCAGAACAGCTTTAGCTGTGTTTGTTGGAGGTCGTCTGCCCATTGGAGGTAGCTGTCGTTGAAGGTGGCTTCGTAGAGGGAGATCAGGCCGGAGATCAGGTAGGCGTAGTCGTCGGCGAAACCGGGGGCGTCGCCGCGACCTTCGCGGTAGACGCGGATGAGGGTCTTGGTGGAGGGGTCGTAGAGCTCTTTTTGCAGGAAGGCGGCGGCTTTTTCGGCGGCGGCTAGGTACTGTTTTGAGCGGGTGGGATCTTGTGATGAGAGGGCGGCGGATGTTCGTGCGAGGGCGCCGATGGCGAGACCGTTCCAGGATACTACGATCTTGTCATCTAGACCTGGCCTTGGTCGCTCCTTGTTGCGGTGCTCGAGTAGTTTTTGTCGGCCCTCGGTCAGTATCTTGTTGACCTCGTCTTCTGATAGGCCAAACTGTTTCGAGAGATCTGCTGGTGTTGCGGTGATGGCTAGTACGTTCTGGTTGATCAGCTCGTCATGCGCATCGTGTTCGGGCTCGACATTGCCCTCATCCTTGACATTGTAGTATCTTGCAAGAATCTCTGCGTCTCGGTCGCCTAGTATATCCTGAAACTCCTTCAGTGTCCATACGTAGAAGGCACCCTCTCGCTTCTCCTTGTCGTTTGGCCGGTATAACGAGTCAGCATCCTCTGAGGAGAAGAAGCCTCCACTCTCAGCGTGCATCGGTGGGCTGGTAAGATACGTCGCGATGTCGTGGACCGCTGATAAATGTTCAGGGTTCTTCGTCATGAGATAGGCGTCTAGGTATACGGGCAGGAGTTGCGTCTGGTCGTACAGCATCTTCTCAAAATGCGGTAGGCTCCAATCCTTCGTGACAGAGTATCGCGCAAAGCCGTTTCCGATCTGATCGTGTATGCCACCCTTGTTCATCGCATCTAGTGTCGCCAGTACCATGTCTTTCGCATGTGTGCAGTCCTTTGCTCCGAGCACCTCCCTGACCGCGTTTGGATATTCTGATAGCTTGAGGAGGAATTGGAGGTTCGAAGGCGTGGGGAACTTGGGTGCGCTGCCAAAGCCTGCGTGCTTCGCATCGTATCGCTTCTTGAAATGCTGTCATGGATTAGTAAACGGTCTTTAGCAAAGCCCCCCATACACACCTCAAATGCTTCATCCAGAAGATCTAGGTCAAGACCTTCGTGAGCTGCGCCATCTTTCCTGCTGATGTTTCCGTCCTCCGCAAAGTCTCGCAGTTGCGCTGTGATCTCCTTCGCCGAGTCCAGACACCTCTGTCGCTGATCCCTCCACACATCGCGAATCTTCTTGAGTATGCCAACAAAGCCAACGTGCTCTCCCATCGCCATCGTGGACCCTGGACCGGGCCAATACGTCCCGCCGAATATCGGTTCCAGATCTGGTGTGATGAAGGCGTTCAGCGGCCACCCTCCTGAGCCTGTTGTTGCCTGAACATAGTTCATGTATATGCGATCAACATCCGGGCGCTCTTCGCGATCGATCTTTATGGGTATGAAGTTCTCGTTCAGCAGCTTCGCGACCTCTTCATTCTCGAACGACTCGCGCTCCATGACGTGACACCAATGACATGCAGCATAGCCTATGCTGATGAAGATCAGCCTGTTCGACTTCTTCGCCAGCTCAATTGCCTCTGGTCCCCACATCTGCCATGCGACCGGGTTGTTCATGTGGCCCCGAACATAGGGGCTGCGGCTCTCATTCAGGCGGTTCTTGAGCTTCAAGTCGTCGCCTGCGGTGGCGGATCCAGCGGAAGAACTATGCGCGTCCATTCTCAGGATAGATGTACGGAAGTCGCGCTGTTGCGCTCGCGATGTGGAAGGTGGGGTCGCAGTAGCTGGAGCTGGTATACGGCGGGGTGGCGCGGTCGCGATGGGGGTGCGGGCAGATCGACAGGAGCCTCGAAAATTGAATCTCACGGGAGGCATACAGCAAAAAAAGAGTTCTGGTGAAATCTGGTGGCGCGCGGCTCCGAGGCTACTGAACGTTATCAATCATGCGAAGTAGCTCCGCGCCCCTGCCGAATTGCCCCGCATCCCGCCAACGACGTAATCTCTAGAACCCTGAGTGGCTGGGGATCGGCGCAGAGATTCGGTTCTCTGCAATCTGCATCCCTTCTGACCTGCATCGATTTCGCAGGGTGGTACACGGGTACATCGCGCCAACGTAAACTACAGTGTCATGACGTGCGTTGTACGCCATTTCCAGAAGCTTCCATCTGCTCGGCTTTGGTAGCGAAGCTCTTTGCGGAAAGCTTATCAACGACGCGCGATAGACAAAGATTATCTGTTATAGACAACTTCGTAGCCTGATATGGCCACATCTGGAGAGATAACAAGGGAACAGCAACGTCGGCTCACGCATGTTATGTCTGTTCTGGGACGCGATGTCGCACAGGATTGTGACTTGATTGCAAAGAACAAAGAGAGAAAGGGTTAAGATGATGTCTTTGGGGTTCGCCCGTGGTACAAATGCTGAATCTGCGCCTGAAGTAAGTAGGCTGTTGTGTTCAAGAAGATCTTATCACGACCGAGGTGGGTCGATCCTTCCTGCGTAACGAACTCGAGAGTGGTTTGTAGTGCCCAGCTGTGAAATTACCTGGTGAGAAGTAGTTGCGATCCGTAACGCGGTCTAAGATGCCGCATCTGCCTTAATACTGGTTACAAACGTGAGTAGTTCGTGCAAGGAGGCAGTCGAGTACGAAAGGTATATCGGAATTGACTGAAGCCTCTTCTATCGCCTAACTTGGTTTGAGATGGACGAAGGTGCAACGGACGCAAGCGTCTCGACTTCGGTGCTGCAAATTCTCACTGACACGCTGTTGACAGTTATGCCATCCGAAAACAGAAGTGACTCTTAGTACTGCCAAGCAATGACCTTCACCACTACTATGCATAGTCACCCACTTGTAACCACCTGAGCAATGGCCAGCAGGATCCGACTGCCATTGATGGCATCGCCTATGTTACAAATGCACTCGTCTTCTCGCAAGGAGAGTGATAGTGGCTTCTCAGGTGCGCTCGGCTTGTCTCTCACCTTGTGGTAGTCGCTCCTGCCTCACCGTAACTACTCTCGCCTAATCCGGTACTGATAAACAATCAACAGCTTCCCTCCTCCCTCCCCTCCACGACGACTTGACTCAACCACCCCACACTCCTTCATCTGTCGCTCCCTCGATTTCCTCCTTGCGCAGCTTGCCTGACGGGATACACTCTCTTTACATCTCGTGCAAAAACACTCACTTCTTTATCTCGGTCGCACCAGTCGCCCATCGGCAACTCACAGCTCCCAGGAAGCTAGCAACTAGGTAGGCACTGTACTCTTCATTCTGGACTATGTCTAACATGGCAAGCAGTCTTTCTATCCTGTCCTTACGGTGATCTGGGTTCGACACTACTCAAGACTACTACGTACCCGAGCGCTTCCAGTCACTCCAAGATGCATCACTTCATTCTTGTCGCTTCAGCTCTGGCCGCTGGTGTCCTCTCTCATCCGCACATCCATGCAAGGCAGCCGGGAGTTGTCTATGAGACCAAGATGATCATACAGACGGTCGTCGTCACGGTTACTCGAGGCTACACTCCACCGACATCCACCTCTTTGGCCCTATCTGCTACCGTTATCGATAGTCCCAAGGACACTCCAACCCCGGAGCCGAAGCCCCAGCCTGCCCCTAAGCCTGAGCCCTCGACTTCCAAGGTTCCTGATGCTCCCGCCATGTCACAAGCGCCCATGCCCAGCGACAACCCTGCGCCCAAGCCTGCCGATCCAGTTCAAAAGCATCCATCGGGCGAAGACCAGGCCTACCTCTCTTCTGGACCCGACTATCAAGCTGCAATACTGTTCCATCACAACGCCGTTCGTGCGAATCACGATGCAGCTCCACTGAGCTGGGACTCCGCCTGCGAGGCAAATGCGCGTATTGCTGCTAGCAGGTGCGACTTCGAGCACTTCACCCCACAGGGCGCCGGCCAAGGTCAAAATTTGTTTGTTGTCTCTGGCGACGCATTCAACGTTACGGCGGGCATATCGGAGACCTGGTACCATGGCGAGCTTCCCCATATGACACCTTGGTTTGGCAAGAGTGACCTGCCTCATGAGGTCTTCGAGAAGGTCGGTCATCTCACACAGATGGTGTGGAAGGACACCACCAAAGTCGGATGCGTCTCTCTTGACTGTGGTGGGGCCATGACTGTCAACGGCATAGGTTCGGCCATGAACAAGTACACAGTCTGCAATTACGCTCCGTCGGGTAACTACAAAGGGCGGTATGCAGCGCAAGTCGCCCCTCCTATCCCATCTGCCAACATTATCGGCTGGGCAGACTAGTCGTCACTTCAGCTGATCCGTCCTGTCTTTTCGATCTTCCCGATGATATGGGCTATCAGCGCTTATAGTTATACGGATATCGCTCGGCAGATCAGGAGCATGAGACGCATGAGGCAGGCCTTCGCTCGCTGTTTCCTTTCTGGCATGGTTACTAGTCTTCACCTAGCGTTCACTACTTCCATCAGCCAAGTGCCAAAAATCTCAGCGAATGCATATCGCCGTACATTACGATGTATGACCAATCTCAAAATGATTCCAGATGCAGCTCATCTCGATACAACGTCCATGTTCGTGCCTCAAAGTGCTCGTGATGCGTGGAGCTGAACGTTGCTTGCTTGTGACAAATGTGTTTGTCCTTCGCTTCAATATTACACAACGTTGATACAAAGATCTCGCAGTCGTGATAGAAGTGGCAGCGCCGAAGCTGCGGGCGAGCGGACCCTTTCGACAGGCGCTGATGACGTCGTGGGCGAACCTCGGCCGCTAGCGACGCGTCCCCTGTGCACGACGCGTCGTACTTGCCAACCTCTTCCATTCATTATGGCATGCTTGCTATGCTACAACATGCGATATCGAGGAATGTTTCCTTGCTGCCTTTGTTCTCGAAGCCCAGAACCGAAATGTTACCAGGGAAATATCCCCCGCGCGCGCGCAGTAGCAGCAAGTGACTGCGTCGCTACGCCCCGCAGTCGGTCTTTCCATTCGCGATGCGGTATCAATACCGAGTAAGGTTTACGCATTCTACACCCAGCCGCATTCGCAATTTCGTCACGTCGCCTATCCGATCTCTAGAAACAAAGCCGGCCTATGTGCGGCCTTGCCTGTTTGTTCCGCATCTTATTAATGCCCTCGGCCAGCACATCGAGCCAGTGCTTCCCTTCGATCACTACGAAGTGCGTGGTTCAAAGAGGCTGCATGAAATCATGTTTTGATACTAGGTATTTGTTCTACATCCCATGTCACCACATCTGTGACGATGCCTTCACTGCTCGTGCTGAGCTGGCACGGGTACCGCATTTCTCGAGCTCACGTTGACTCGGCAGCCCTGGTATCCTGTCACGGCTCGAGAGTTTGTGTGCTGCTGAACGTCATAACTCCGCGAAAGACTTTCACTACTAAGTGAAGGCTGTGTGCATGGACCTCAATTGATTCTGCCTACGAATACCAAGAACTCCTGCCTTCAACTTTACCCACCCACCTAGGCACTACCAGCGACGAACTACGCTGAGAATCCTCAACTGCTTCCGAATATGGCCTGCGCACCTGACTTCGCGAGTCTTCCCAACGAACTGAAGATAAGCATCTTCTCTTACATCAGATTGAAAAAGGAGCAGGCAGCTGTTTGTCTTGTGAGCCGCGATTGCAAAAAGATCATGGCACCCCAAATGTGGTTTTGGCTCGACCTAACACCCACGACGATGTCGACTGCGAAGACAATGGCCCTTTTAGATCCCGACAACGGTATACTTCACCACGTCCGTGGAATTTTGGTTTACCACGGCCCACGCGAGTCACTCCGACGTCACTCTCAGGAGTTCGAGTCTGCGATCCAACTCATCATAACTGCATTACCGAGAGACACTCTACTTTCTTTCTGCACGTACATGAATTTTGATCCCGGGTTTTTGCTCAACCTACTCCGCCATCAGAGGGCACTTGATCGTCTCGAGATACCGACGAGATTATCAGTCAAGAACCCATTGATCGATCTCCAAGTCTCTGCGCATGCATCCTGGGCTTCCGCTGCGCTGCGCGAATTGAGGACGCTACAGGTCCACGTTGGCTCCGTGGATTGCGCTCACGAGAACTGCGCATACTTGCTAAGGAACTCTCCTAAGCTTCGTCAGCTCAGCATCATGCCTGAAGAACCTCTAGGGCTTACTGGGAGTTACACAGAGACTTCTCTCAGTAGTTCGAAGGGTTGTGACGCTTTTGGTGGACCATTTGCAGACGGTGTTGTTGTGCAGTCACTGCAGCTAACACACTTGCAATTACGAATACTCGATTTGAAGCTGCCTCGACCCGAAACTATACTCGCATACATCAATTTCTCTGGACTTCGATCGCTTTCAATCGACGACTGTGGTCACGTGGGGCCATTTCTTACAGCGCTTGCGGCTCAGTTTTCTCAAAACTGTAATCTAATCGGGTTGGAGATTGTATTGCGAGGCTTCGAGATCACCCCAGATGAAGACGTTCGGCTGATTGAAGATGTGCTGATGTCCTGTTCGAGTCTTCAACGCCTCTGGATAGGCACAGGACAGGCCAGAACGGTGAATACCCGGTACATCGTTCGACATGGTAGCACATTACGAGAGCTCGGTCTGAGCTTTAATCCGGAAGGTTCGACATACTATTCTGCACACGATCTGTCTCTTATATTATCATCCGCTCCGTATCTAGAGCAGCTGGCTGTACACATATCTCCAATCGAAATGGGCAGCTCACAATCTCTCGGCACAGATTTCACGCTCACAATACCGAGCTCTTATGATGTGCCTAATGCTTTGGAAGCATTCTTGGTAGGTCCTCGAGCCCAGGATCCGTATCAAACAATTTGTTGACCAGCGACAGGATTGCATTGCGCGCCATCCAACACTCCGAAATTTGCGCATGATTTCGCTACCGAATATCGACTACGGCCTTTCACCAAACCCTACTTTCGAGAATCCAGTTAGCATAAAAGACGAACTCGTGCCTAGCGCAGCTATGACCATGCAGTCGCTTGCTACAGCCATCGTCGGTTTCCTCGACAAGCTTGGCTCGGGTATAACATTGTTCGGGTTTTCCGCCGAGTACTTACCCAAAGCCCGACCAAAGAAAGATACCAACGGTCATCTATGGCCCCGGTATTTCTATACCCGCGGTCGTACAATCGATGCAATGGGCGCAGCGAGAGTCGCGGCTGTTCCTCTGCCGGCTGCGGGTCTGCCGGAATGCTCGGTGTTTAGTCGATCTTATGTGAAATAGTTGGGCTTCGAAGCAGTCTGTCTGAGACTATGAAGAGTGAATTGGATTAGCAGATAGTACTTGAGATATTATAGTTGTATGAATGATTTGAGTATGCGTTACGCCTGATGTTCTTTACGGATGCCTCGCTTGCAGGTTGGGCATGTTTGAGATGTCACCTTCGTCTTAGACACTTATGTTCATTATTTGTAGTTTATAGCCAGGGCAAGGCTTCTCGCATACTCGCAATAGTCAAGAGATAGATAAGAAGGCGGCACGCGGCTGTTAATCTAGCAAAGCAAGAAGGGCAAGAAGTACGAGGGTGCGATGCCTAAGTAACTAAGATCCTGCGCGTTCAAGACAATAATACGATTAGGTACCTATAGGTGGAAGGCTGGTGTCTAGTGTATTGATAATGGAAACCAAAGTTGTAAACGCCTTCAACCCACTGAGAGAAGTACCAGGCGTCTCCTCGTAGTCTGACATGTCGAAAACAATATGTCCTGGCGAGACAGACTCTCAATCTTGCATAACTCGGGCGTCTACATCTTCCCTAGCGCCAGTGTTTAAGACTCGGCTGCGCATATGAAGTCTCAAAACCATTGGCGTTCTCCGGGATTAGCAGCCCCAACGAACGTCTGCCAGTATAGTTAGTATAGTTCATCGGTCGTATAAGGACATCAGCTTACGGTTTGCAAACAGCTTGAACGAATCTGCGTTGTTCAGCGCCTTCCTGGAAGACAGCTTAACGGAAGGCCAGTAGTCATAAGCCCAGTCCCTGGTACCAGGGCTATACACCTCTGAAGAATGCGTCATCTCGTGCAGAAGTACAGTGCCCTGATCCTTGGCTGAACATTGCCCTTTCGCTACTGCCGGCAGGTCCCAGTAATCAGCGCAGAACGTGATGCCGAGACCAAGCCGGGCGTAGTATGCAAGATTACCGTTACAATTGCCGATACGGTCATGACAGTAGAGATTCAAGCTTGCACTAGGATTAGCGCATTCTTGCGCTATTGCGGTGTATCGGGCAGAAACCGCATCTTTCGTAGCTTGTGTTCGCGAGTGGAAGAAGGTTTCGAGATGGCGGTGGCCGGCTCGAGCTGCAGCTGCAGCTCCCAATGCTAGCTTTTGACAATTCTTTTGTGCCTCGGCGATTTGATCATTCATGAAAGCTATGAAGCCTGCGTCAGCGTTTGTGCGAGTCTGTGATGGAAAGGAGTACGTACGTCGGCAAAAGTAGGGATCGGCCCAACGTTCGGCTACTGGCTTGTGAGTAGCCGCTTCGGTACCGTTGACAGTGATGCTGAGCTTGTTGGAGGTGTATTCGAGATGGCCAACAAGCTCGGTCGAGTTGGTGTTGGCGTATTGCAGCATACCGTTCGCGAACACATCAAAGCTTCCGCCGTTGCTGAGATCGTGTAGAGAGGCAGCTTCAATCGTCAACTCTTTCTTATCTCCAGCTCCAAGAACAAGGAAGTCGTCTGTGGATAGGTTGTCGGTATCAAGGTGAACCCCGCTGATGCCTTCGAAAGGAACCTTGATAGCTGAATGTTGGTCAGTAATAGTTTGTCTTCAGTCGCGTTAGATTTGGAAGGTCTATGTAGAACTTACAACTGTTGCTAGCGAACATCGAGATGCGCTCGACGGGTAGCTTCTCATCGAAGAGAGTGGCTCTCCTGAGAAGGTTCAAAGCTATATCGCCGTTGTTCGTCACTACGACCTTGACGGCGGAGTTACCCGCGGCAGTGAGCTGAACGCCAAGCTCTGGTGTTGACGATACTTCTCTTTTTTCGAGAGGAACGATATAACAAAGATGTGGATCAGGGAAACAGTCCACTACTTGCCCATTCAATGAGTAGGAGTTATAAAGAGCGTCTAGCCGCATAGTTAGCATAGTCTATACGGTGTGGGCATATGAGCTTACCCTGTGCGAACAACACGAAAGAATCTGCATTGTCCAGCGCCGCCTCGGTCGTCTTTACTCGCTCCGTCGTGTTATGGAAGCCATATTCCAAATCGTGCGTGCCAGGATGATATATCACAGGACTGTGCGTTAACTCGTGTAGAATCACGGTGCCCCGGTCCCCGCCTTGACCTGTCGGCTTCGGGTTCACTAGCGGCATGCCATAGAAGGATTGGCAGAACGTCACGCCGAAGTCGTCCTCACTTGTATAGAATGCCACTTCACCGGGCTTACACTGGTCGGGTTCGCAAGAACAGTGGTAACCCAAGCGTGGCTTGGTGCATTCCTTTGCTATTGCGTGGAAACGGGAAGCAACCTTCGCCCTGATGTCTGACGAATCCGAGTGGAAGTAGGCCGGGAACCTGGAGTCTTCATATGCGGCTTTGGCAGCGCGCAATGCTAGTTTCACGCACTGGCCTTGTGCCGTTTGAATCTGTGCGCGCTGGAAATCTGTGAAGCCCAAGTCAGCGTTTGCGCGGATCTATGATGGTATGATGAAGGGAGGAGTACGTACCGCTGCATTGGTCCTCGATATAGCGCTCGGCTACTGGCTTGGGAGCAGCCGCTTCGGTGCCGACTGGCGCGGCATGAATGTAGATGGCCAAGAAAGCCAGGAGGAATGGAATAATAGACCACTTCATTTTCGAATGGAAAGCTGGTGGAAATGTTTGGAGAAGATTCGGAGTGAGCTGTTTAGAGTTCTACTGGTGAAAGCGAGTCGTCTTATAATATTTCCGAATCAGCATATAAATACTAGCGTAAGCAAGGGGTGGATGGGGTTTCTGGTTGAGATTTCTGTAAATCAGCTGAAGCCAAAGCCCAAACTTACTTGCTCTCATGACGGTTATCATTTGGAAATACCGACCAATCTTATCAGAAATGTATGGATTACAAGGAACGTAAATGGTTCGTCGCGCGTTAGTTGTTGCAGTACCGTGGAACGGGATTGAGGCTGGGAAGCGATCGAATCGCAATCATGGTGTTAGCATGCGACACGTTGTAGGCGTACGTATCACCCTTACGATGAATGACCAATCCGACCCAGGACCAGACCGCAGTCTGAGTTAAAGGCGCACTCTATGGCCAAGCTCGTCGCCGAAGCGACCCGCAGACTGCCCATGCGATAAGGCTGTGCCGTCTCTACCGAGCAGTTCGATGGGCCCGAGGTAGCGCAGATACGAGGATGAGGTTGAGTCGGTAGAGACCAACGTTGAGAAGTGGAGAAGGCATGGGTGGATATCTTGTTGAGCGAAGGGGCGAGGTCGGCGCTTGCCGTGGCGGGCTGATGTATCGAACAACACCTAAAGGCAACAGCGAACCACCTTCCCACTCTTACCCACCTTCTCTACCCATTACTTTGTCTGGGAACTGCCACACAGCGCCTTCCTTCGTATTTGATATTCACCTGTCTCAAGTGCCCTCTACCCCTAGTGGGGCGTATCCCCATCGTTCGCCGGCTGTACCCAACGGGAACCTCGTGAAGGAAAGAACCCCAATGCCAAAGCCTCCTGACACAGTTCTGAGGACGACCGTGAGCTTGGCCATAACGGCAACACTCTATCTCCCTCCAGACATCGGACTGGCAGCTGGAAGAAAGTACTTCGCCATCGAGCAAGGGTCTCAAGCTCGGTCGCCCTTGATCTTTTTACTCTTATCCTAAGTCTCTTTAAGCTCCTCCAGATGTCGTTCTGCACATCTGCGATGTCCCAGAGGCGACCCAGAAAAGACGAGCCAACCACACCTCCCGCATTTCATATAGCTCTTAGGCGAGAAGATAGTCTACGAAAGAGAGAATTATCGCATCTCCAAGAACCTCTGTGTAGTCTCTCTTTGGACAGCCTCCTCTTGATCCGAATCATCAGCCCCACCGACGACCACGGTACTGCGGTGATGCACCAGACCAGCAGCACTCCAGCGAACAACATCAAAGCTATCGCCATATACCGTATACCAAAGTACCATCTTAATGACCTACCCGAAGGACTAGACCGCAGTCTGAGTCAAGCGCGCACTATATTCGTTCCTCCTCTTGATCAACGAGTTAGGTCGAAAGGACTGGATGGAGAAGATCAAACGAACGAACGGTTCATCGTGGCTGCAGCGGCAACGCTCCGTCGGGTAACTATAAAGGCTAGTACAGAGCGAGAGTCGCGCCTTCTATCCCCTCCGCCAACATTGCTGGCTGGGTGGACTAGTCCTTACTTATGAGCAGCCTGGGAATTCACCTAAGAACCAAACTCCACTAAACATCCACGTTCACTACGAGGCTATCCGTGAGGCATAAAATCATGTCTTTAATCTCGTCCCCAAGCTTCTCTGTCTTTCGCGATCGAGCCTAACGGGTCTTTTTGCAAGGAAACCTTGATTGTGTACATTGGGGGAGAGATATTCGGTAACGGTGGTTTCATTCCCAAGCTCTTTCCGCCTGTGGCTTGACAGAGAGCATGTTGTGGTTGCGGTAGAATAGGAAGAAATCAGAGAGCTGTGAATAGTGCTTAATAAGTTCGAAGCAATACACAGATCTGGATGCAACAGCTCCATTAGGAGACTACATGATCTTGGTTACGATACATTTATTAGATTATAACACAATGTATGCTGCAACGCGATACATGGCATATAGAAGCGATTATCTTTGCCTGAAGACATCCAGACTGCATTGCGCAGCCTAATCAGGACTAGCGTCCATATACGCGACCCACTCGACTGGAAAGAGCAATCTGAGGTCTCCTCCGACATCCTTCTGAGTAACCTACACTCCGCAATAATCGTCGCGTCTGGCGCCTCCATTCGCTCGCAATGGCTGGCCCCGGCGTATCAGCTGCGTTCTCCGACCTCCCGACCGAGATGAAGGCGACTGTCTTTGCCTACGTCCGCCAAAAGCGTCACAGAAAGACGGTTTGTCTTGTAAGCCGCGAATGGAGAGACATAATGGGGTAAGTTCCAACTGTTCGGCAATTTATGTGAGAGGTATACTAATTTTGTGCGTCTAGGCCCATCCTCTGGGAAAATCTTCTTCTGAGGCCCGCCGCCAACTTACCAGGAGAGCTGGCTTGTTTGCTGAGCCCAGATAACAGAGTGCTAGCCCACGTGCGCTTTATCTTGATTCAAAACGACTTGAGGGGCGCCGCGGAATTCGAATCAGGTTCCGAATTTGGGGTCGCCTTCAAACTCATTCTTGGTGCGCTCACAAGGAATTGTCTTATCGGTATAAAGTTCGGCATGAGGGCCGACTTGTCTACCCTACTGAGCATCCTACAATCCCAGCAAACACTTCAAGCGCTCTACCTTCGGACCAATGTCTCCACCGGGAGCTTATCTATCGGCAAAAGCCTTGCGACACATGGATCCTGGGTTACACCCACGCTGCACAATATTCAAACGCTGCGGATAACTCTGCTCGAAAGTGACGAGAACCGGTACAAACACAGCGCCTTTCTTCTCAAAAACACACCGAGACTGAGGTCATTGTGTCTCGCATGCGAATCTGGTATCCTGCCTCTTTTCCACGACCCCTTGAGTAAGCACGACGCGTTCGGGGGGCCGTACACAAATGGAGAAACTTTCAAGACTCCGGAGCTGATGAAGCTTCGACTGAAAGGTTTGAACCTCAGAACATACCCCGCATCCATCTTTGCTTATATCGACTTCTCTCGTCTTCATGTGCTATCTATCAGCCAGTGCACGAATTTCGGGACGTTTCTTACGGCTCTAGTTGCCGCGGTTCCACACGCCGCAGTCTTGAGCACATTGGAGCTATCAGTGTATCACAAGCCAGCTCCCATGGATACACAAGCAATTGAAGCTGTGGTGAAATCTGCTTCTGCGTTACAAAAGCTCTGGTTGGACGTGGGGTCAGGTTGTGCGATCAGCGTATCCTGTCTAGCTCGACATGGAACTTCGTTGCGCCATCTTGCTTTGGTAGCTTCATCACAATCAGGACCACCACCATTCTACTCCAGCTCTGAACTTGGTAAGATACTTAACCAGGTGCCAAATCTGGAGGATCTAGCGATCAATTTCCCTCCGATTAGCCTGGGTTCTGTCCGGTTTCTAGCCGCCAAGTTCAAACTACCCGCGCAAGATGAAGCAGATCCTGATTTTGATGAAGTTTCTTTATTCTCCGAATCCTTGGTATGCACGCGCCTCATGAGAAGAGATTACTGCTGACGTAAAACAAAGGAATGTATCGCAAAACATCGGAGTCTAAGGACATTGCGAATCTCGACAACCCCTCTTATCAATTGCGAAACAGTGTCGAACCCAAACTTCTCGGAACGTATCGGACTTCCAGAGGAGTATGTGTATACATCGCAGGCAATGATGCAAAAGTTTGCCACAGAGGTCTTTCGTTACTTCGCCAAGCATGGGTCCAAGATCAACACCATACTCTTGGCACCGGACTATATGGCAGGAGTCAAGAGGCCTACACGCGATGAAAATGGGCATATGTGGCCACGGTACTTCTATAGATGTGGCTGGACTCGGAGTACAAATGGCGAAGACTACGTTGTAGCTGTTCCGGCAGAAGCGATTGACCTTCAGTATTTCGATCGACCCATCTGGTGAGCGGCCAGGGAGAGACGTCGTTGGCACACGGTCACGGGGATAAAAGATGTGAAGAAAGCTCGGAATGCTGTCAAAGCACTATCGATGCTAGCAGAGGAACTGCTGTACGGAAGCGATGGAAGATTGGCATAAACTTGATAGCTAAGCTGAATTGACTGCATACATCGAGCAAAAGGCTCCTCAAACCACTGTTCCATCAAACCAAATCCATATTCTCAAGCCCCTCCACGAGCATACATTGCCTCTCCTGCTCTTCAAAGTTGTCCAAATGCTCGTATGTAGTCGCCACGCTCTCATCTGCCACGCCCAGCACTTCCCGCTCCTCCGCTTTCATCTCACTGCCATACGCCAAACCAAGCATCTCCTGCTCCTCAACCTTCATCTCACTGCCATCTGCTAGACTCAGCACTTCGTGTTCCTCCACTTTCATCTCACCGTCACACACCAAACCCAGCACTTCCCGCTCCTCCACTTCCATTCCGTTCTTACGCGCCAACTTCCTCATCTCCTTCTCAGTTCTCCTGATCTCCCTCTCTGCTTTATCTTTTATCCTCCTCGCCCTCGCCTTCTCCTTCCTCTCCTTCCTCCTCTGATTGATAGCCTGCCTGGCCTGAACCCTCAGGTCACGGCTCAACTCCCTTCGCGGCAAAATCTTTACATCCTTGAATGCAGCACCTAGCCAACCACCCACGAAGTCTTCTCCCGCACCTCCCGTGACGAGTTTTCCGTCCAATCTCACCGGCGGAAAACTAACGCTCCGATCGAGTAACTCCGCAGGGTATTCAGCCAAAGCAAGCTTCTTGAACCGCTGCGAAGCGCCGCGCACGCGTTGATGAGGCTCTATCTTGGAGAGAGGAGGCAACCAGTGAAACTCCACTTCCACGCTCTTCTCCGCTAGTTGTTTGGTAAGATCGGGTATGTCGTCAACAAGCCATCTATCCCTCACCAAACCGAATGGATGACCCATCCTCATACTCTTCAAAACGCGTTGCACATCTGAGAAGACGAGCACACGATCGATGTGCTCGGTTATCGTGGGAGATGCGGCGACGCGGAGCGCTTCGCCGATGGATAGTAGGATGGCCTCGTTTGCGTTGGTGTAGTGTGCGACGGTGACTTGGGCGGTCCAGGCAGAAGTTGTAGGTGAGTTGTAGCCGATTGCGACAGCGCAGGGTTCGTTGCGCAGGTCGCCGCTCACGGTGCTGTTGATCCAGAGGACGAGGGTGCGATCGGGAGGCTGGGTGGAGGTTGTGCGCGCAAAGGCTGTGGCTTGGGCTTTGGACTTGATGTGGATTGATGTCGCGTAAGTATATTTGTCAGCGCATCGAGGCTTTGAGGTGAAGTGATCGAGGAGGGTGGTGTCGGAGTTGGTTACGGGAGCTGGGGATGTCATTTCAGTGTCCATGGCGCGGAAGTGCTGCAAGATGTTGCTTTACTGAGTACCAACGGTGGTGACTGACGGCAGAGTCTTTGCGGAGGTTACGAAGATGGTATGTCGGAAGCTCCGCGAAGGCAGTTACCACTCAAGCAGGCTAGTGAGAGAAGCGGAAGGCGCCACTCACACTCGACGGAATGTCTGGACCCTGGTTTACAATCTTACTGTGGGTCTACGGTACTCCAAGTAGAACTTATACGTCACCAGCAGCCAACACCAGAGCATTTACCTTCTATATGAGTCGCCCGAGCCGTGAGTGGCTGGGCAGATAGCTAATTGTGGATCTCCACGGAAATATGGATGACAAAAGACCTGGGTGATACCCTTCAATAAACCAAGCACACGCGAGTCAAGGGCAAATATCGTTGTGTTCTCGCTGATCTCGTGATGATCCGATCACGATAACGTTGCGTGGTACTTTGGGTGTCAAGAGGAAGTGTAGTATACATTGTGCCAAACGCCCACCTCGCGCATATTCGATGAAACTGCTAAGCTCGATTGGTATACAGTGACCTTGCATTAAGCAATCCGGTTCACGGTGGGTGTAGGCAATTCCAGCAACACTGCAACACTGCATCTTGCATACCGCTAGCAAATACTTGAACTCTGATTCTATATAACAGCGTGCACAGATCCATGTACACCACATTTATCATTCTGCCATGCACATTTAAAGTTTGTAGTAGCTTACATCACAATGCTGCACAACCTCCCGTCGCCTTCGCGCTTTGCGACACAGGGCCACCACAGTGAGCATAACAGCACACCATCATTGTCCTATTTGCTGCTTTCTTTCTCATTCGCGTTTTTGTTACAACTACACACTTGGATCAGCCCACAAGTAAAGAACAGTCAAGAAGTCCTCATGTATATATATATATCTGCTATATTTGTCCCCAGAGTGTGTCTGCATAAACACTACAGCACAAGAGCCTTTAATAGACACTTCTATACTATATCTACCACTTACAAGTCAAAGACATCCTCAGGTATCTCCAATACATCATAGCACACATCAGCAGGACTGAAGCCCAACACAACCCCAACCACATCCCCAACTAACCCCCCAACCCACCCCCCAACCATGTGTCAAATGGTCCTAGAAATCTGTCCCCTCTGCAAGTTCTGCGGCCCACTGCACAAGCCCTACATGAAGATACGACACTCCCTCGAGCCGTGCTCCAACGCAGCAACGGCAGGCCCCTGCAGCAACCCGCCTAATGTAGACCGGCAGGGCGAAGACGTATGCCGACGCTGCATCAACCTGGCTAATGAGGAGAGGAAGCAAGATGACAAGAAGAAGAAGGATGACGATAAGAAAAAGGACAAGGATAAGAGGGCGCAAGATAAGGTGGACAAGGCGGCGAGGATGAAGGCCTGGGCTAAGAGCAATAAGGCGGAGAAAGATGCTATTAAGCGCTCTGGTGGGTACTGAGGCGTGAGGACTGTGTACATGCGGATATCTGGACATCGTGCGCGTATGGGATTAGTTGTTATTCATGGTATATATTCATTTAGCGATGTTATGGGCAGGGCGAACACGGGTGGTTGTCAGAACTGTTGTATAATAAATTAGTAATGAGACATAGATGTTGAGCGATTGTAGTACCTTCCACATTATACCAGGTCAGGGGAGCAGGGTCAACCTTCAACGTCAAATAGCACAAACACCGAAACACCAAATGTGAGTCTTCATAATCTTCATTGCATGTCATAGCACGTATGCCTTCAGGCCCTGTCCTGTATACCACACCCCCTAATATTCCCAGCTTTTGACTCCCGCTTCCCATCGCTACCGTGGAGAGATACAAATACAAAGCGGTGCAAATCAGATAAGATCCCGCCCCAGAAAACGCAAGAGAGTCGTGCCCATAGGGCTTTGGGTGGATGAAAAGACACAAAAGACGCTCGCCGTGCTGGAAGCTATGCACAAGACTGCAGAGATGGACGGAAAGGAAATGCTAATAAAGCGCAACGCCTTCGAGGCTGAGGTATGAGTTTGGATTGGCAGGTCCTCCCGCCCACTAAGCGGCAGGCTGGGCACCAAACTCAGCGCCGCCGCGACCTCTGGGTGCGCCACGGCCGCGGTAGCCGAAGCCCCGACCGCGTCCACGTCCACGGCCACGGCCCCGACCACCCCGGTAGCCGTCAACGCTGCCCTGGCCAAAGGTCTCCATGTTCTTCTGGCGCTCCTGGCTCCTGAACTCTTGACCACGGGTAGCAGCCTCTTCTCTGTCCTTCAGCTCGCTCGAGATGTTGTCGAAGAAGGAACTCTTGTCGTACATGGATCCACCAGGGATGACGACTTCTTCCTTCTCCGTGGAAGCCTCGCCAGCAGGGACTGCTGGGGCATCGCCCATCGGCGATCCAGACGCGATGGCTTCCTTGACCAAGTCCTGCTTGTTGAACTTTGCGTTGGACGACTCAAAGTCAAAGTCGGTTGTGGGCACTTCCATCTTGGGGTGTTGGGGATGAGCACCACCTCGTCCTCCTCTTCCGCCCCGACCACGGAACTCTCCTGTTCCTCGTTGACGAGGCTGGTGCTGGCGGCTTTGCTGTTCACGCATGCCCTGCACCTGCTGTGCCAAGTTGTTCATCGGGTCCGAGACAGGCGGTTGACCCTGCGGTTGACCTGGTGCCTGACCCTTGTTCTGGAGGTTGAGCTTGGCCATGGCCTCAGCGACAGCAGCGGTTGCTAGTTGAGTAGCGTTTTGTTGCTGGGCAGCGGTGGGCATTTGCGCAGGAGCGGCAGAGGGGCCGGCACCTTGTTGTGCTTGAGGCGCCGCCTTCGTCGCCCTTGGGCTTGGAATTGGTACAGCGGGAATGATCCGACCACCCTTGGGTCCGCTAGGCGCACCCTTCGCGGGTGGTTGGCCGTTCTGGGGGTGGGGTGGTGCCAGCGCAGCCGATACATCTGGCTTTGAGTCGACCGGTGGCGGGGGAGCCTGCTTGCCTGCTGCAGCCGGTGATGCCTTCGCGCCGTTCTTGGGTTGTGGCTTGGATGATGCACCGTCTGCCTCTGCTACCTTCGGTTGCTGGACCTGACCCGGCTTCTCATCCTTGCCTGCTTGAGGACCCTGAGGACCCCGTGGGCCTTGTGGAGGTTGGTTCTGGTTGAGGCCGGGAGGGCCAATGGGCATGTTAGGCGAGAAGGGACCAGGTGGCTGCTGGAAGCCGTGACCTGGAGGGAACCAGCCAGGAGGTGCTCCGAATGGAGGCGGCGGCATGCCAAACGCGCCTGGTGGACCTCCAGGGAAAGGACCTGGGCCACCGGGACCACCAGGGAAACCACCTGGAGGACCGAATCTGTTTCCATATGCACCAGGGCCGCCAGGACCACCGAACGGAGGGTATCCGCCAGGCGGGAATTGACCTGGTTGAGGAAAGTTTGGCGGTGGTTGTTGACGACCGGCGAGATCTTGTGGACTGCCCTCTTGCCGCGACTGGGGCTGTTGTACCTGTGGCGCATGCGTCGCGTCAGCTTTGGCTTCGTGAAGTATGTAGCAGAAGCAGGTTGGGTATAGGATCTCAGAAGGAAGGCAACGGAAGATATCCACACGGTTTTGCGCTCTCGGTGGTTTAAATGATTTACATCCGAAAATTTTACATCATCGAAAAAGAAAAGAAAGGGTGGTTGTGTAGACTTACTCCGATGATGGCTGGATCCTGCGGCATGGCAGGCTGAGCCTTCTCCTTGACCGGCTCTTCGATGCGCAGATCCTTCACATCGCTGCCTCGGAAGACAATTTGCTCGTACACGACGTCTGACGGCGGGTATTCGTCTTTGCCGCCCTTGCGGCCCTCTGTGCCGAAAGAGCGCACATTGTCTAATGAGACTGTGGACGCTTCTGAGTTGATCTCGACGAGGGTTCCGACATAGCTGGGGACTGTTAGTCGCGTCGCGCAATGCATTCACGCGATGGAGGACTCACCGGATGTCACTCTTGGAGATGAGAGAAATGCGAGATCTACGCGTCCGACGTCAGCTGGAGCTCCAGCTCGAATTGGAGAGCTGCGACTAACCCGATGAACTCGGACATGGCTGCGTAACGTGGGTATCAAAACGGGTATCGAAGGAATTGAAGCTCAATGAACAAGAAAAGAAGGCGGGAAAGTGGTTGGGAAGGGTGCAAGTGGTTGGTGGAGGAGTGAGGGGTGAGAGAAGGTTGGAGAGCTCCGTGGTCGTGGGCTGAAGCTGCAGAAACTTGGCGCACGTTTAGCGAGGCGTAGTCTGGAAGCTTGGAGCCTCGCTCATCCACCTGGCACCTCGGGCTGCCTTTACCCCACACGTACCACCGTTGCAGTCTTCGTCGGGTTGCAACTGCACCCATGCTTTGTCACCCATGAGATGTTGACTTTAGACCCTTGAGGTCGTGAATTGTATCACCTTTCCAATCTTCACTTTCTCCCAGGGCCCCACGTTGCCCAACCCCTCGCTATGAGCGTTACCGACGACGGGCTCAACGACATCTATGAGGCTCTGGATCGCTACAACTGGGACGATGACATCGAGTTTCAGGCCGGTCTGCACGCCATCATCGGCAGCAACAGCACGCCAGAACAGACGACCGAGCTAGCATTACGGGCGCGGTGTTTCTACTATGCGAGGTACGATTAATACTCGAAACAGGCTCATGCTTCAAGAGAGTCAATTACTAACACCCCACAGAAAATACAACAAAAACATCGACTTCAACGCCTACAAAGCCTACCGCAGCGCCCGCAACCGCCCCCCACCCACACCACCAACGCCCCATAACGTCCTCGCCTCCTCCGTCGTAGACGAGATGCTCCCCGCCGGCACCACACCCAACGCATCCACAACAAGTCTACCCATAACCACCGACCTGCCCCCAAGCAGCGACCTCCCTCCAAGCAGCTCGCCAAGCGGCATCATGCCCCCACCCACAACCACAGCCGAACCACCCGCACCCTACCCCACATCCTTCGCCCACATTGTCGAGCTAATTACAAGCGGAAAGCCCGTACCTGGTATCAAAGAGATCCCGCCGACGGTACTAGAAGGCCAAGGCACGGAAGCTAGTAAGCCGAAGAGGAAGAAGCCGTGGGAGAAGGATGGGGCGTGACGTCCCCCCTCCTATCAAATATAGATCCCAGTATCGGGTGACAAGTCAAGAGTATGGCGCCGTCGTTGTCAAAAGGGAGATGGAGACATTCCATGTATGCCCTCACCGCTTGCTTGGTTATCGGATGGTAGTTCGACATGATCAAGTTTCGCAACCGCTCTGGGCAAGTATCTGGACACTTGCCCAGAGCGGTTGCGAAACTTCATCATGTCAACCCAATCTGCCCATTCAATATCTTATACAGAACTACCATTCGATGACCAAGCAAGCTGTTTGTACATTCGAATCGCCAATCCGATATAGGTTTCGTACAGGAGAAGGCATACATGGAATGGTTCTAGGGAAGCGTGTAGCGCTGTAGCTACCGATGACAGCAAGAATGTTTCCCCTTTGCCTCCATGTATGTCCGTACCGCTTGCGTGATCATCAGATGGTATCGGTGGAGTAGGTATTGTATGTCGTATACATACAATACCTACTGCACCGATACCATCTGATGGCCCAGCAAGCGGTGTGTAAATTCGAATCGCCAATCCGATATAGGCTCGTGCAGGAGAAGGCATACATGGAATGGTTCTAGAATGCGTTTGGCGCTGTAGCTACCGATAACAGCGACAAAGTTCCCCCTTGCCCTGGAATGTACATACAAACATCAAGTACTAAGTAGAGAGTGTGGCTTCGTCGTTACAAAGGCAGGTAGATAGATTCTGTATATGCGTCTTCCCTTTGTGGCTTATGCTGTCCAATTCGCCAATATACAAAGCTAAGTATAGCGAGGACTTGGATAGCAAAAGACACAAAGGGAAGAGGCACATATAGAATGGTTGTAGCTACTAAGAATCAAGAAATGATACACATGCAGACATGGTTTCAGGCGGGCTTTGGAGTACATGTGATCAAGATACAACGATACTATGCATATAATCCAAGAACGACCTACACGCTATGCTACCTACATCCAAGATTTTCCCCTTCCGTATATCCATCCCCACCCTTCCCCACTCTCACCCAAATTCCATTCCCAATCCCAAGAGTAAGAATACCAAACAGCAAACTGGGGTATATAGCAGATCCAACCTCCCAACCTTACCCAACCCTAACCTTCCCATCCAATATACGCCCAATATACACAAACATTAAATGAGAACATCAACATCAACCCACCCTATAATTTTACCCGCTTGAAAAGAAAAGTGACTGTTCCTCCTCTTCTTACAAAACAGCCTCAAGAATGCGGTCTTTGAGACTCTTGACCTCCTCTTCCCTCTCCCATAACCGTCGTTGCATGTCTAGGAATTTGGCTTTCCATGCCGCGGGCGTCATTTGACTTGCCCCAGCACCCTCTCGATCTAATGCGGCTTCGCCATCTCCTCTTCGTTCTCCACTCGCGTCTTCGCTGTTCTCGTTGCGTATTTCCAGGCCTTTGGCAACCCACTCCCCAGTCAACCCACCAAAGTTCACAGCGAAGAAAACGTCAAAGGTCTCTTTTATACGACTACCGCCTGAGTTACCAGGGTGAGACCTTAGGTTATCTCCGGCGGCATCCCCATCGTCTTCATCGTCGTCGATGGGACTTTCATAGCCATCACCTCCAATGCGGAAGCGTATGCATTCGACGCGACGGACGCCGCCTGTGGGGCCGCCGATGCCGATGCCGACTGCGCTTGTGAGACCCAGACAACTGCTGATGGCTATGCCGAGGGCTTGGTCGGACATGACTTTAGCTGGGGAGGAAGGTAGTCCCGATGATGGTTTTGAGTAGAGTGGTTGGAGGATAGCAGTAGCCAGGGTTTTTGCTTCGTTGCCTCTTAAGCGCTTCCGACGCCCGGTCAGCGGGGCGCGGATTAGTTCGGCGGCTAAGGCGCGGTTGAGTGTTTCGAGAGGGATTGAAGGGAGAGACTGGGAGGTGGTGGAAAGGTCTGGCGAGGTTTGCGAGCGGATTGGGGGAGGTGGTCGATGCTGGGCGGGTGTTTCAGATGGCGTGAGCGCGCCGTGGTAGGTCTGATGTGTTGGCCTGTTGTCTTGTTTTTGGTACATGCTTTGTTGCTCGTATCCATGTGCGGGCGACACCTGTGTTGAGGCGGCGCTTATTGGGGAAGGTCCTAAGCCCGTGCCTGGGGAGTCGTTTTGTTCTCCGTTGACGAGTACTGTTGGTGTGACTAATCGCACTACTGGGTTGCCGACATTTGGAGGGACCTGGAGACTCAGTCGCTGCTTCTGGGGCGCCCCACCCATGAGCTGGCCTTCCATCTTGGAAGGCGATATGGCAGATGCTGGTGTTGGCGGAAAGCGGAAGGAGTTCTCGGGTGCTGGAGGGTCAGAGTGCGCCCGCTCAACTATCGGTGTCAGATTGCCTGGGGTACGATCGATGGGCGGTCCTTCTTTGGTTTTCGGATTGGCCGGAAACGTGTTGTACGGTCCATCTCGAAATGATCGATTGCTCGGTGGCCGGCCACGAAGCTTGCCGGTAGACGAGGTGTTGTTGGTCGACCATGCCGACGATACAGCGGGGCCGTGACGCCGGCGAGAGCGTGATCTCGCACTGGAAGGCGTGACAGCAGACTGGGGCTCATCGAAGAAGGGGTATGCGGATTGTGGTGTTACCGCGGAAAGTGGATGAGGGGTTTGAGGCGTGTCGTGAGGATTTAGTCGCCATCGTATGTGTTGCCCAGACATTGGCGAATCGGTATATGGTGTCAGGCTTTGGCCTAAACGACTTGGTGCTGAAGCTGCTGTTAAAGCCGAAGAGGGTGTCACGGTTGAGACTGCAGTCCACGCTTCTTGAGGCGTGAGGAAGCCTCCGTGCATGTTGTGAGGATGGGCGCTAGTGGGGTACGCTGATTGGGGCTGCAGCACGTTGCCAAACGGTATTGACGTATCCAACTGCGGGCGCTTACGAGCCGGTGTGCCTTCGTCAAAGTCGATGTCGTCCTCTCCGTCATCAGCTTTCCGCCGCCCGCGCTTCGGTTTGAACTTGGGATCGAGAGCGCGAATAGCCAGATCTTCCTCCAGGGGTACGCCATCCCGCCCGTCAGCCGGAAAGGGGTTGTGAGGAGGAGGTATTTGCAGGAAGTAGGGGTGCTGCTTGCCCAGCAGATACTCGAAGAAGGCGTCGATGTGCATGGCGCGCATCCATCGCTGTGATGATTAGCAAAGGTCGGAATGATGTATGAAATGACAAGTGATTGGGGGCCAGGTCGGAATGCGCGACCCCTCTGACCTGCAGAGGCCACATCTTTGACCAAGTCGTGAGGAACAGTACATCTCAGATATCTCACATAGTGAGTGGCTCGGTTCGCACACTGCGCCGGATACCAAGTAGGTGGTTCGGGATCACAATGAGGCGTTTGAGGCTGAAGTCGACTGCGCCGCACGACCCGGATGACATGCATGAGACGTTGTTGGAGCCCACTGGGCCAGAACTCGGAAAATGTGTAGGAAATGACTCGGCGATTGCCGGATATAAGACGTGTGAATGAATGTGAGGCTCTTACCTTTAGTCTGACTGAGTACTGCTGCACCTTCTGCGTGCTCTGTCCCTCGTCCGTGTTCGGCGGCTTGACGCCCAGATCCAGCGCCAGCTGTGTCCATGTCTTGATTTCTTTGGCGTCCAGCTTGCGTATCAGCTCGAAGAGCGTCCATGTGTTGAATGCGTTGCCGTCGCTCTTGGGCGGCGTCCGGAACAGCTTGACTAGTTCGCTCGTGTCGATGGTGGTGGGGAAGTTGGGGTTGCAGTAGAGGATGAAGGTCGCGTAGGCGTCGTCGATGGTGTCGTCGGCTACATTGCGCGAGGGCGTGTCGCGGTCGGCGGGCTCGTAGTGGGCAGATGGCTGGCGCGGCTGGCTGGTGGGCGATATGGCAGCGAAGCGCGGCGAGGCATGCGCAGACGCCGGGGGAGTCTGCGAGCTGCGCATGTCGGCGTAGAAGCCGTGGGCGAGGTTGTGGGCATTGTCTGGCTGAAGTAGGTGACTGGACTGGGGAATGGGCGTGTGCACATTGCGGCTGGCACCTGTGCTCTGCTCCAGTCCCGGATCAATCGCTGCTACACCACCGCCGCCTGGATGCCGGAAGGGCGAGTAGGCCGGCCCGCTGCCAGGCCCCGCGTGTTCGTAGTGCTGGTGGGCGTTGGCTGTCAGGTGCAGGCTGTGCTCCGTCTCTCCCTCGTCGCCAAAGTCGACCTGCATGGTTCTCCACAGTGTAACGCGCTCTGCTGCTTCCTCGGCCCGTCAGCATGCCATGAGGGCGTCGAGATGATTCGCGGCCGCGCTAATGCCAATAGCAGGCCATGGATATAGAGCCAGTCCCGAGGTTTGCTTCTTCTGGCCCCAAGGGGAGTCCTCAGCAGCGCCTGCTGTCGCAGCGGAGCCGGCGAGTGCAGCGCGAAGAGGTCCAACGATAGGATGCGATGCGCCCAGCGCCGTCGCTCGGTCAGGGCAGTCGCGAGCAGGCGATTACGTCGTTTGCCGTGGCAGCGCGCTATGGAGTCGCGTCGTCGAGGGTCCAGCGGGTGGTAATTTGCGGTCGTTCAGGTGCTATGGCGGGTCGTGCCTGCCTGCTTCGGGGCATTTTGGTCAGTTATGCCAGCTGAGCGGTACCCCAGCATCGTCCGTCTATTCTTAGATCAGCCGACGCACCACTGCTCACCACACCCATGTCGCTGCACCATCCGAACCCCTACCACCGCTGCTCTGCACCCTGACTGGCTGCCTATTTGCGCTCTACACTGAATATGCGACAATGCCTATCGAGTGGCAATCATCCCAAGCCCTTTTGGTCGTACCTGCCACTGTAACTGGTGTGCCCCGGCCGAACCTCGCTCTTGGATTATTGCCACTACACCGACTACGACCTTTCTGGGGCGAATACTCGTGTCGCGCCGCGTCGAGTCCAAGACAGCATCATGGTGCGAACAAGAGCAAGGTAGGGCAGATACCCAGCTATGCAGTGTTGTCGTTAGCGCACCACACGCTAGAAACCACCTGAGGGTAGCAAAGCCCTCCCCAGTCTTTCGAATGTCTGTCCTCAGAAGCAGTCAGATTTAACACAGTTCTCAATGGTCTCCATCAAGCTGAGTCTTTCTATTCACTAAACACAGTTCTAGGATGCTTATCATCTCGTCAAGAAACCATGAGAAGGTCACAATCCCCTCTGAAGTGTCTACTCCGGCCGAATTCTCCAAGCCTACTTCCGAACTCCGTCACCGTATTCAGCCACTCTGTATCTCTAACGATGTTCAATACCCTGCATGCGTCGTCATCGAATGTGGCGCATACCTCTTGGGTCGAGTGATGCAGTCAGATATTCTTCGGTTCAGTGAATTGAAGGCAGCAAGCAGGTCTGTGAAACCAGGACTATGACCGTTTTAGCAGTGACTCCTGCGCACCACGCACTACGCATCGACACCGCTGACCACGCTTATTTGTGTTCATCCAGTCCCATTATCAACTTCCACCCACACGAGATAGTCTCGACTCAACTCCACGCAGCTTCCGCCAAGATGAGTGTTTCCGCCCTTCCAACAGAGCTGCTCAGTATGATCTTTGATGAGATCCGAAGAAAAGAGGATATGCAAGCCGTTTCTCTCGTTTGCCACAAATGGCGCGTTAATCTTGCGCCGCTGATGTGGTACACGTTGAACACCGATCTTCTGCTAAGCAAATCTCAGTCCATGAAAGCACTTGTCAATTCGCAGAGCTTGATACTCCCTCATATCCGACGGATTATCATAGCAACACCCCGACGAGTCGCGGGCGATTCGTTTGAAATGGACCAAATCGAGCACAAATTACGTCTACTGTTAACGTCCCTACCTCGCGACCGAATCACGCACTTCATGGCCAGCACGTTGAGACCCAGCCGTCATACTATCCACATGCTTCTCAAATCCCAGCGGAAGCTCGAAGAATTGAACGTCCGCATCAGGTCCGACGAGGCCTTCACGGGCAAGGGGCCACTTCCTCTCCACACAGCTGGTCCTTCGATGGAGCCTCCACTGAAAGACCTCACTGGACTAGCTGTATATGTTCATTGCCATCCGAAGATAGCGAAAAACTCTTTTGAGTACTACCGCAAACTTCTCACATACGTTCCCAAGCTGCGGACCCTCTCCTTAGCCGGCACGTTCGATGAATATCGGCCATTCGACCAGCTGAACCTGCTTCACATCCTACAACCCGACGTAAGGGAGCTCACCCTGACAAGTCTTACTACCTTACTTCTGAAGCATATCGACCTCGGTATTAGCCACAAGCCAATTTTCAGCAACATCGAGTTTGCTAACCTTCGCACGTTATCACTGATTAACTGTAGTGACATGGCCCGCTTCTTGGGCGGCCTCCTGATACGACGCGCCAAAAACGACTGCGGCTATCTTTCCGATCTCTCTGAGTTGGAGATTTCATTCAATCCCAATTCGCCCTATCCCGACGATGACGTCCAGGTTGTGCAACACTTCCTTGAGACTGGTCCGAAGCTCGAGAAGCTCATCTTGGACGTATCGCGCCACGCCTTGATAAACAGAAACGCTATAATCGCCCAGTCCAATCTCAAGTCCTTGGAACTGGGGACGGGAAAGCTACGGCCTGCGCGTTCGTATGCAGTAGAAGACGTCAAAGCGATATTGAGCGCCTGCCACGAGCTCACACACATCGCTCTAAACCTCCCTGCAGTGAGCCTAGGATCCCTTATCGATCTAGCTCACGACTTCAAATTGGGAAGGCCCCAAAACTGTCTCACACATGTAGAGACCGAGTTCGAAGCCATGCTCGTGAGTCCCAGAACCTCCTTACTCCTCACCATTAGACCAACAGCTAACAACGACCCATCTAGACCGTACTCGCCCAACACGCCCCTCTTCACACCCTCCGCATACTGAACCTCCCAACTTTCGACAAGACCGAAAGACCACACAGACCTGACTCGCTCAACGCTACCGAACACCGATTAGCCCGCGTTCTGTACCAGAATTACGCAACGGAGATCATGCGCTTCATGGCAAAGCGCGGTACCGCACCCATTGTTCTCGACACCCGGCCTACCATCACATACCAGCTCTTCGATGAGTGTCTATGGCCTACATATCTGTTCAATAAAGGGTATGTCTGTGATGCCACAGGAAAGAGGGAGGTGATGGCGGTGCATGTGGATAGATATCCGCAGGATGAAAAAGAGTCGCTTGTGATGCGTATGGCGGGGTCGAGTATCTGATTTTTGGTTGAGGTAAGTGTAGAAGTTGGGTATGTAGCCAGCTGAGGGTAAAGGAGAAGGAGCGAGCAAACCTTTGGACGTTCAGCGACACCAAGTTGCTACCGCTTCGCCTAAGGCACGAATACAAGTGATTCAACACATGGCTTCTGATATCGCTATGTTACCATATTGAATTCTATGAGTTGTGCATTCAATGATACCCCTCCTGCCTTCCATCGTGCTAGCGCCTTGGCGCTATGGCCTCACTTCGTGGTCTACCCGACGCGCTTTCGACCTCGATCCTACTTTGCTCTCCCATCCCATCATCTGATAGTAGTTGGCGTCGCGATCGCAGCATCCCTACAAGCTCTGCCTGTAGTCCAAAAATCGTTCGACGATGGAACCTCTCCCCTGCTTGAATCCTTGGTTGGTGGGGCAACACATTGACGCGTCGTCGCACGAGCCATGTTCATGCTGAGCCGTCCACCCGCGACGCGCAAACTTCCCCCTTCCACTACCTAGGATCGTAGCAATCCGCGCTCACGATCCCACACCACTATGGCGAGCGCGACGTTCTCCGATCTGCCAACTGAGCTGGTCGTCAATGTTTTCGCTTTCGTAAGTTCCGGGCATTGCCGCTCTGCTAGCCAGAAAGCGCTAATACATCTGTTAGATCCGGCAAAAGAAAGATCAAGGCGTTGTATGTCTCGTCAGCCGCTCATGGCGGGAGCTGATGGCTCCTATCTTGTGGGAAGAGCTTGAATTCAGCTTGGGTGATCACCAAGGCTCTTCCCCTGGCCGCTCTTTGACGACGTTATTAGATCCTAACTCTGGGATCCTTCCACATGTACGGAATCTATGCTTTGCGGACTTTACGGATGAGGATGCGGAGAACCGTCTCGAGTCGTTGATCTTGGCACTTCCACGCGATAAACTCCGCATTTTCCAGGCCTATGGCGACATGCAGCATGAGCTTTTCTTGCAATTGTTGCGATCGCAGACCAAGCTCGAGAAATTCTATGCAGTAACTCCATTTACCTGCCTTGGCTCGACGAGTGACTATCATTATGCTTCCCGGGAATACCGCGCGTGGGTTGCATCGCTGACGCCTGAACTGAAGGAGATTAGTCTTCTTCTAGAGCGCGAAGAGGAAGACGAGGAAGAAGAGGTCGAGAAGAACCACCGGAATCTGCAGAGCTTTATCGACCTCTACCCTAGTCTCGAAAGGCTGAACTTGTCAGCCGATTGTGACCCTCCGATCTCATTACAAGAACTGCTCTCGCTATCGCCGGAGAGTCGCCTATTCTCCAATCTGACATCGATCAAAATGGAGGCAATGAGCTTGGTACCGGATGCTTTATATCAGTTCTCCCACAACTTCGACGTTGCAAGGTTAGAGAAGTTGCATCTCAAGGACTGCAGCTCGATGTCGCTGTTCTTCGACAGTCTCTCAGAATCGTACATTGAGACACCCGGTAAATTAAGGGAGTTGTGCATCCGCCTAGATAACGGTGTTGAAGACGAAGTGCAGGTCGAGACCACAACATCCATTGAAAACTTCCTCAAAGTCTGCTGCGCTAGACTTGAGAATCTTGAACTACACCTCTCCAACGGCAAACTTGTCGACAAAAGTTGTCTTCTGCCTCACGCTGAAACGCTTCGTAACGTCATTATCGAAAAATCCCAATACGGAATTCCGGATTCTCAGTCGCACTACTACTCGGGAGACGAAGTCGGGGTAATTTTGAGGGCGTGCACAAAGCTCAGAGGACTGGCCATCAATCTGCCACCTATCGATCTCGGACATATCACAGAGCTCGGGGACGAATTTCAATTCAAAGCAAGTGAGCGGGATTGTGCCGCTTTCAAAGATGTACTAGTAAGTAATGTTCTTTTTGTATTGGTATCTTTATTGATTGGCATCGTAGGCACAATGTGCCGCACATCCCAGTCTTCATACCATGGAAATACTGAGCGAGCCTGATATCACATTTTCTTATGATTCGGAGACATTTGAAGAGACGCCTTTGATGGAGGAACGCAGCTTCCGTGCGTCGTGCGAGGCTGCCATGAAACACTTCGGCGATCAGATCTTCAGTCACATGTCGCAGTGTGGTACAGTCCCGAGACTCCTCCTAGTCGAATCCTTTGACACTCGTGATTTTGAAGAAGGTACGCCGATGGAAGATCATTATTTCTGGCCTTGGTATATCCACAGGCGCGGAAATGTTGGAGATAATTCGGGCAGCAATCTATTAGGTGCAGCGCGCGATGAGATGGAGAAGACATCGAGGAACTACCCTGGCGACTTCATCCTCAGGCGCTTTTCTAGCTAATGTCTATCGTGGGGTTGAAACTGTATTGTATCTCGTAGTATGCAAATCAAGAGGGTAAAGTATGCTTCAGCGTGCACCACATCGGAGTAACACCTAGCATGCGCTCTATTGCAGGCCTAGTAAAGGACCTTGTTCACGCCTACAAGTCTTGGCAGTATGCTAGAGCTGCGCGTTTTTCCTACTTTTCTCGCGACACACCTTTCTTACTTCTCATCGAGGCTGCTACTACGTCAACTGCTTCTGCATCTGCTCCCGACGAACTCCACGTCCAGCCATGACGCACAGGAGCCCTACTGATATACAGCTCGAATTCGTTGCATTTCGAAAGGGATTCTGGGTATCAGGGATGTGCTGACAAGAACATGCAGGTGCGACAGAAGACCGACCAAGGCGTCGTGAGCTTCGTCAACCGTGCATGTCGTACGGCAGATATCAGGACTACACAAACACGTTCCAACGAGCTATACTCTTGGTTACTGCTAAGCTGGAGCGTTAGCTGCTAGATGATGAGCCAGCTGTACAGCCGCAGTTGCGTCGCATCTTGCAGTGTGAAGTGTATGGAGAATCTTGGCTTGCACAGTTCTTTCTTTCCTCCGTATTAATGCCAGATATCTAATAGACATGAGTATCGTCTAGCGCTTGTGTCACCGCCTGTACGTCATCTTCGTCCTCTTCATCGCTATACACATTGAGCGCCGCTCCAAATGCATCTCGGTCCCAGTCCCGTCCTTGCCCGTCTCCCGGCCACCCAGCTCTTCTCATCTTGCGCACAAGCGACTTGAACTCGTCGTCCGCGTCATCAAGCTCCCAGTACATTGGTACCGCCTCGATGATATCTGTCTGGAGACCGATCCAGCGCAGCTCGCGGAACCGTTGCTTGCAGAGCGCAAAAAACTCGCGTGGGCGATATACGTTGAAGCCCTGCCGCCAACTCTCGGTTTCGTTTTCGGCGTAGCGTTCTTGCACCACGGCATTGAGCTCTGGCGCTGGCTCGTCGGGCAGGCCACAAGGTTCCCCCCAGTAGACGTATCCATCAGCCGTGTTAATGACGAGATTGTAGCCATTACGCCCGTTGCTGTTACCGAAAGAGATGCATGACGGCGGTAACGGATCGCCGATAGGTTCAACGTAGTATTCGAGATCCCCGTCGCGGATCCGTTTCTGCATCGCATCGCTGCGGTAATCCTGGATCCGTGTGTTCTTCATGATGACGTGCGTGCCATAGGCTTTGTCTGGCTCAACAAAGTCTACAAAAGGCATGTGGCGAAGGAGGTCGATGACTGCATCGGTCTTGTTCAGGTTGGCCATGGTGGATTGTGTGATGGTTGGCCAGCCATTCTTGGGCGCTTTTGCTACGACCGAGTCATCCCAGAAGACTCGATTGCAGAAGTCGTAGTAGTCTGTTAGAAGTATGATAAATTCGACTTGATCAAAGGGCATGATAGCATGTCAACCTTGGACCCCAGGAAAACGCTGAACACGCTGGAGCCTAATTGGATGTTAGATCACCTATCTTGTAAGTTTTTGACTCAGCGTAGTCTGCAAACTAATTCAGTTTTCCCCTAGTATGAGGTGGTTGGAGGGAATGGGAAAAGAACACCACTCCAACATGGTGGGGCGTAGGCAGGGTGGATTACCTATGCTGACGGTTAAATAGGGCCTTCAAACGTCATCACGCGCCGACGCCGACGTACCCTGTTTTTGAGCAGTCTTCCAGAAAACGATGCGCCCGACGAACCTCCATTCCCCCAAAGCGCAATATATATGTACGCGTATTTCCACGTAGCAGATGCGACAAAGATAGTGTAAGTGCACGTTCGAAACGGATACATCGAATACCCAGCGCTCTTGAACTCGATGCTCGCCCCAGCGACACCACAATGAAGCTCAGAGCGGAAGAAGCAACGAGCTTCTATGGTAACGATGACCAGGCCTTGCGATCGACTACATGAAGGCTTCGCGATGGTGTCCCCTGGGAGAAGCTCGCCCGTTACTACGAGAACTCGGGCTTGAAGATGAGATTGGAGCACGACTTGATGTACAACTTCTGGTTCTTTCTTCTCGTAGAAATTGGAGTTGTCTTCTGGTTCACAGCCGATAAGCAGAGTGTAGGCACTGCTGTCTTCGTCGTCGTCGTCGTATGTCGGGTTTCCGAATCGCATACACTTGATGAACTCCGGGGCAGGTAGTCGCCTGTTGTCGTTTCGGCGCCCATGATACTGACGTGAGCAAGCTTGGATATGGTAGAGTAGAGACTCAGGCTTGAGAGAATGCGAGGTGCCAGCAAAGGTGAGGTATGCGGTTGCAAGGTGCGATGGGGCATTGCTCGTGAAGAATGCCATCACGACATTCTAGGGAAGGCACGGCCAGACAGGATAAAAAACCACTGTATAGATAGTACGAACGTGAAGGTCAATCACATTCGGTGACTTTGCTCATCCAGCATCTGGCGCACAAAGGCACTGCGTCGACGGTACTGATGATGGATTTATAAGAGAGGGGACGCAGTGTATACCTCCAGGCTGCAGCATATAATCGGAATAAGACATGGCGGAGTAAGATTGCACTCCTTCCTGTGCCCACCTGCCGTGATGGACCCTTATCGTGTCCACAAGTCTTGGCGGTACAGGAGCAAACACCGCACGAGCCACGCGTCCTCACCTCGATTGCTCTGACTCCACCTGCTAGTCACCCGCTTCCTTTGATCACGACTGCCCAACCAATCGACTGAATCTCGCGGCCTCCCGAACGCAACATGGCGTATGCGACCTTCGCCGACTTGCCGGCCGAAATGGTCGGCAATGTGTTCGCGTTCGTAAGTGGTAGCGACTGCCATGTCCATGAGAAGCGCTAACAACTCACGTAGATTCGATCAAAGTCTGATCAGCGTAGCGTCTGCCTTGTCTGCCCCACATTCAGAGACCACATGAACCCCATCATGTGGGAAAAGCTTGAGATAAAGTTAGGCACCGCTTCTCCAGAATCTCTGGCAACACTAGCAAATCCTCGCTCCGCGTTCACACAACACATACGAGAGCTGAGAGTTCTTGACGCAGTCGAATCAGCTGAGGTAGAAGCCCGTGTGATATCAGCGGTAGCCGTAATCCCACGAGATAGACTTCGGGGTCTCTGTTGCTGTTGCTACCTCAACGCACTCACGGTACAGACCCTCTTACAGTCTCAACGAAAAATCGAAATACTGGAACTCTGTACTCCCTTCACCATCCCCGGACTACTAGGGCTACCCAAGTTTGACTCCAAAGAATACCACGCATGGACGACATCAACATTACCGGATGTAGCGGAAACGCTGCTTTACATTGCCCCATACAACATACCGGAAGAGCGCGTATTGAAAAACCTCATTGCCGTCTCTGAAAATCATCCAAAGATGGAGACTTTGACACTGATCTCAATGTCGGTCTCTGGAAATAGGGGGACCTCCTTGTCCGGAATATTCACTCATAACCACAAGCTTCCACTCTTCTCGAACCTGTCGAGCCTCTCATTGTACCAACTGAGACTTGTGACAACAAAGGACCAGGCAATATCGAAGAGTATCGATCTCTGCAAGTTGCGTTTTCTACAGATAGAGGGATGCAACTACATCGTGCCCTTTTTAGAAGCACTGTCTTCATGTTATGCTCTTGGTACCGGCAAATTGGAAGAGCTCTACATCGTGCTTCCGTACCAACTCGAAGAGCCACAGATCTCTGTCAAAGCCATAGAAAAGTTACTCATGACCTCCCCCAAGCTTGAAGCGCTTCAACTGGACTTTTCTCGACATGGTATCGTTGCCAAGGACTGCATCTTGGCACACCGGCAGAAGCTACAATGCCTAATGATAGGTACCGGAGTTTCAGAAGTACGCAGCTACCTCTCTATCACGGAGATGACGGTTGTGCTACGGGCTTGCGTTCATCTGAAGTACTTAGCTGTCAACATGCCAGCTGTGAATTTGGGTCCTGTCACGAAGCTTGGGGCTCAATTCTACCCAGAAGGAGAATTTGCGGATATGCTGGTAAAGATCGGGCTGCATCATACACATGTTTTTCACTAACAAGGTTCTAGGCTTTAGTTTCCACACATCCTACACTATGCGCATATCGCATCCTCAACCTCCCAACTATCGATTTCGACAACGACGACGCCGGCGACACAGTACCTGCAAACCGACATGTCTACTTCTGTCAAGTCCTCATGCAGAATCTCGCCAACCAGATCTTCCGATTCATGGCCGACCGAGGATCTCATCTACGAGTCCTCAGCATCAAGCCTAGCTGTGATGACGTTCGAGCTGATGGGAAAGGGCTGGACGTCGACACTAATGGCCACCAATGGCCTGAGTATAATTACGCTCGAGGTTGTTCCACAGGGATCATGGGCACGAACTTCGTGATTGCGCATCCTTTGAGGAAAGTTCTAGAAGATTTCCCTGAACTGGAGTCGTTCATTAGTTACAATTGGGGAAATGGTGATTAGTGGAGAAAGCCAAGGCGCAGAAAGGTGGCAGGCCCGGAAACATACATCATCGTCATCATAGGACGATTCAAACATGAGTGAACTCAACTACAAGCTGTCAATTCCTCAACACATACCCCTTAACCTGTATCTTCTCTAGCCCTCACACCCCAAACCCATCAAGCGGCGACTCCGTACTCTCAATCACATCCGGATACACGACACCGCCCTGCCTCCTAACCTGATCCATTACCCGCATAACCACCTCCGTCTCCTCCAACCCACAAATCTCGCTCTCCAGCTTCCCATCGCGGATACACCTCGCACACTCGTCCGCCTCCCAAAACATTCCATGCCCACCCCCCGGTATCTCCTTGAACTTCTCAACGACTTCATACTCAAAGTCCGCCAGTTTCCCTCGTTTCTCATTAACAGCAGGCGTCAACGTATATGTCCTTGGCCTCGGCGCGTAATCCACCGTCAAGTCGCCTAAGGTCCCTTGTATCCTCACCGCATCACCCCCAGGATTAGGATGCTCAGCGTTGGGCGTCGTAGCAACAATAATACTCGTCCCCGCCACGCCCTGCGCCCCCGACCCCGGAAAACGCAACAACACAGTCGTCGTCTCATCAACGCCCGTCGCACACTTACTCACTGCCGACGATACCGCCGGTTCCTGTCGCTTGTCGGCTGGCTGGCAGTGCCACAACGCCATGAACAACCACGTTAGGCTATAAATCCCCAAATCCAACAACGCGCCGCCCGCGAGATCAGGATTAACCATTCTATGCTGCGTCCCAAACTCCTTTTGCACATCATTCCAGAAACTGAAGTCGGCGAAGACGCGCTTGATATCTCCCAATTTCCCTTCTTGTATGATGGAGCAGACTTCCCGTGACAAGGGGAAGAAACGCGTCCATACAGCTTCCATCATGAACCTGCCTTTTTCTCTCGCTAGTTTCCTCAGTTCCTGGCATTGAGCTGCGTTGACGGTGATAGGTTTCTCAACGAGCAAATGTTTTCCGGCGTTGAGACAGAGGCGGGCGTGGTGGTAGTGGTGGGAATGGGGGGTTGCGATGTAGATGATGTCGATGTCTGGGTCGGAGACGAGCTCGGTGTAGGAGCCGTAGGCGCGTGCTGTGGGGGGTGCGTTGATGGATTTGAGGAGTTCGGCGGCACGGCTTGCCGACGTGGAAGATGCTGCTGCTGCGACGACGTGGCGGATATCGGAGGCATCGCGGGTTTGTGGATCGATGAGGAGGTCTTTTGTGAATGCTGGAGTGGTGTTAGGATGGGTAGGTTAAGGAAGATGAGGGTGGTTTACTTGTGGCTATACCTCCCGTTGCTGGAAATCGATTAGCCTTCTCTCATCGTGTGTAATCAGGCTTGGTTGTGCGTACCCAAGATACCCCACCTTAGCGTGAACGGCTCCGAACTCATGTTTGCGAAGTTGTATTACCCCAATGTTGAGACGAAAAGAGAAGACAGAGATGAAATGGAGAACACTCCCTTTGTCACCCCCATCACTATATACACAGCCTGATCCTACATGTCTCATGCGCCCTAGGGCACATTCATGCTGCAGGTACATGTGTGACATGCCATGATAGGGCGTTAACAACCTCTCGATTAGAGTACCCCGCAGCGGGCGGTTGCACGTCAGAGGGCCTGATGACGCGGAAAGCGGAGAGACGGGATGCTATCCGCCTTGTCTTTCGATAGCATCGCTAAATCAGATGATGAAAAAGATCTTTTTGGTCATGTTATAAGCGGTGAAGATTCCCGTTCCTTCACATACGACCATAGGACAATGAGAATTAGGCTTCCCGTCCGCTCAGCCATATACAAGCATTGTACCGGCGGATTAGTAGTTAGGTGGGTGACCACTAGCGAATCCCCGCTGTTGTATGTTTTTGCTAAAAAGTCCATCTTTTTTGCATCGACATGTTGTGGGCGCATACTCGTCGAATTGCTGTACACTATGAGCATGACATTCCAATTCAATACTAGTGATGCGTGAAATTCCGGGTATATACATTTTGAAGCCTCGTGGTCCCTCCACGTACCGTGAAAACAATGCTCCAGCAAGTGCTCGTGACCCAATACGACTCTCCATCGTCCTCCATAGTGTCGACCTTCTTTTACGGGTCGCGTCTTGACCCAATATACAGCTGCGACTGCGACCGCGACCATTTCCGAGATGTACCAGTTCGAGGGACGCCCTAGACCTTGCGCATGGCAAGCTTCTTGCGTGCCTGGATCGTGTAGGCGTACAGCGCATCCTTGAAGGCGAACAGGAAGGCGGCGGTAATGACACTCTGGGTGACCTTGGGTCCGATGCCTGTGACCGGTTAGCACATCTTCTCTCCTCCTTCGAATGCTTCTACACATACCTCCATACAGGCCAGTGTATCCCTCCTCCCTGATGATGCGCCTGAAGGTGGTCAACATGTCCTCCCTCGGACCATCCCTGCCCGCAACGTGCATCCTGCTCTTAACAGTGATGTACGGGTAGGTGATGCTGGTAGCCAACAGCTTGCCCAAAGCACCGAGGTAGAAGGCATCCTTGGGCGTAACCCTCCTCCGCTTCTCCAGCATCTGCTTCAGCTGCTCGAAGACGGTGTATTGCAGAATGGGGTTGATGACCAAGACCAACGCCGGCATGACACCAGCGAACAGGCGCGCGGGGCCCTCATCGCGGACGAGAGCGAAGAGCGTGCCAAGCGTCGATGGCGCTTTCTGTGCGGGGGTAGGCGCGCCCGGGAGCGACTCGTCGGAGGCTTCGGATTTGCGCGTCGTCATGCGCGTGTTGACGACCCAGATGGGGTTGGTCATGAGGACGGTTGCGCTGCCGGCGAGGGCGCCTGCCATCATCGACTCGACCGTGGTGAGCTTGGAGGAGGCGCGACCGGCTTTTAGCGCAGCCTTCTCGAAGAAGGAGCGGGTCCATTCGTACCCTGATGCCGTCAGTACTTTGAAGTATCCTTTAGAAGTGTGTTGCCGTACAGTAATAGTAGACGAAGTTTGTGACGCTGATGCCGAAGAGGGCGGAGTCGAGACCGGCGTAGAGGCCTGCGACACCCTCGCGCTTGATGATGCGGCGCGCGGCATTGAGCGTCGACGACTGAGCGCGCTTGGATTCGACCTGGGCGCGGGTAGAGAGGGTGATGAGCGGGTAGCTGGGGGTTGTTAGCAGCCCGCATCGCTTCGTCGCGATGGCGCATACGTCAGAGCCATGGACAGCAGTCCTCCACCAGCGCCAGCCAGCGCATGCGCAACATTGTCGCTCTGCTGAGCCGCCGTGCTCTGGGGCACCGAGGAAGTCGACTCGATGAGCTTCTCCTGCGCCTTTTCCTGTGTTTGAGACATGGTCGAATGTAAAGTTTGGTCGCGCGGGAGTTGAAGAGGGGAAGCGGGCGGTTGTCGCGACGGGAGGAAGGAGCAGCCGGTAAGCCGATGGGATTGGGAAGGTTAGGATAAACAGTGAAGGAAAGGGTATCAAAAGGGAAGCAGCTTCAAGTCTCGTCGGATGGTCTGCGTCTCCGCATTTGAGCTGCGGCTCCGGCTGGCTTGTGAACGTCACCAAGCATTTCCGGGGTAAGACGTACAACCGAGGCAACAACTTCCCCCGATCTAGTCGCATGCGGTAATCCTCTCCAAACTACCAACATGTGCAATCTCCTCGCCTCATGCACTGCACAACAAACATGTAATCATCAGTCTTGATTGGTTGTTGCTACTGGATTATTCTGCAACTACCTCTTGTATATCCTCCTCTCTGCTACCCGAAACGGTACATAGAGCACCGCTGCCAGCACAACTGCTACCTCCAACCCGATGTCGCCCGTAGTTTCCGCGATGGGTCCTGTCCACCAGATCTGTCCCATACACGGGATGATGAGGCCAAAGGAGAGCAGAAACGCGCCAATTGCCGCGAGACCGGGTGGCAGCTTGCTCGGCTCGTCCCACGCCTCTTCATCCTCGGTATAAGCCATGGAGCTGCTGCGTCGGAACAGCACGTGTTCGGTGATGGCGATGCCAATGAAGGCCGCACTCCAGTACCCGATGACGCCGATGAAGTTCTCGAGGTTGAGGAAGAAGCTACTGGATGCCTCGACAGCAACGCCAATTACGATTCCAGTAATGACGATGCTGAAGAAGATGCGCGGGATGCGGAAGAGCCAGGGAAGGAGCATCTGCAGGTTTAGTGTTACGCTGTACATCGTTGCCGACAGGTTACCCAACATGCTAAAGGCAAGCACGACTGTGACGAAGCGACCAAACCCGCCAGCTGGCTGAAGCATGGCTGCAAGGACACCACTCGCTGCGTTGACGTCGTACCCAGCCTGCCATGAGGCAATGTTTGGCGTCGCACCTCCCATCGCTGCACCGAGCGTCATCAGCAGGACCGTAGGCAGCGCAAGACCGGTGTAGGTGTAGAGTGCGATCCGGAAGGGAGGAGCCTTGGGATGCATGTATGTCGAGAAGTCGCTCGCAAGTGCAGCCCATGGAAGCATGAAGCTCGCCACTAGACCGCCAAACGAGAGGACCTGTGACGCTGTAGCAGCGGGTGCTGGGACCTGCTGGCTGAGACTGCTGCCCCCGCATCCTGCCGCAATGATGAGTGCGGCCAATGCTGGAATCCATGCCCAGGCCTCGTAGTGATGCAATACACCAAAGCCGCAGAAGGAGATGACCAGCGACAATATAGCGATGATGACGATACCCACCGTGGCGTTGATGGTTGCTCCGTCCTGCACCGCCGACAGTGCCATACCGCCAATGACACTATCGACTACGCAGAAGCCCGTCAGCGTTGCAAGGTTGAGCAATATCAACAGAGAAACAAAGTATTTCCCGAAGGAAAACCTCGCCTGGACCAGCTGTCGCATACCCGTCTTCGGCCCCCACGTACACATGTACGCCACCGGCACCGTCGACACGAGGGTAAAGAAAAGAATAACCAGCGCCGCGTCCCTCAGACTAAGAGCAAAAGACATTGTGCCCACCATGCCAAAAGTCACACTGCATACCCGTTAGCCAGCATGCAAGGCCACCACTCCCCAATTGACCACTTACGGCAACGGATTACAACTCATGCAAAACCAAAGCGTGAAGATCTTTGAATACTGCGTCTCTGTCCTATCCTCATACGGCACAGGCGTACACCCTCTGAGCTCAACATCACCTTTCTTTTCCAGAAAACTCAGCACCCCTCTCCACCCTCCAACTCTTTCGTGCTTGCCCACCGTGACATCGCCATGTTGCTGCTCCACTCCCGCGACTTCCCCAACCGAGAGATTGGGCCGCTTGATGTCTTCCTGTTCCCGCGAAGGAGCACCACTCCCCACCCTGCTACTGCCTACACCTCCATTCGGGGCGTCTGCCATCTCTTTTCCCGGACCCGTGGTCTCTTGGCTCGCAGCAACCGTTTTCGCCGCTCCACCCCGAGATATTGCGCGTGTAAAGTTTGTCAGTCGTGCGTAAGGGACCCGAGATGATGGTACAGACGCCGTTGACGACCCACTCGCTATGTCCGTCTACGGCTTGCAATGCGAAGTAATAGTGTGAAACCGCTCAGTCGTGTGATGCGATAAGGCCCGGCGCGACTATATACCTGAATCATTTGCTCCACCCAGTACAACGTCGTTATGACTCTTTGCTTACCCCATAGTGGCGGGCTGGTGACTATCGCGAACAGAGATTTTTTGCAAACACGACATTTCTGGTTCGCGCATCCTGTGCCCGGCAAGGCTAGACGCGCACCCGTTCGGCACCGAGCGCTGCAAAATCGTTTCAATGCACGAATGCACGCATCCCACAACAAAGGGTCCATGACGATCTGGCCCACCTCGCGCGCTGCTAAGCCGACAACCGCATGATAGCCGTCTAATAACCGCGCCTTTGACTGTCTGCAGCCGTAGCTTCAGGATGCCACTCCGACCATGACGGAGGTGGATGTGCGATGCGTATGCCGTGGTGTGCATGAGGTCTTGTCGGCTGCATGCTTGCTGCGCTGCGCAATGGCCTGATTATAGACGCGCTTGCCGACTTCTCGCCGGTCTGCCGGACCTTCCCCACGGTCTTGACCGAGATGGGCGACACTCGTCCAACCACACTGCGTGCGGTGCTTGATACTCCGACGAGGGCGTGTAGCGTCCTCGGGGAGAGTGATGTTAGTTATCATGGGCGTTGAGCGCTGCGGCGTCGCCTTGCATGAGGCTGTCCCTCTTCGCTCATCTCCTTCTGCTGCGCTGATATTTGGAATCTGGTCATGGCTGCCGACGAAGAGAACAAGCGTGAACCTGTACCGGTCGACGAGGCTGCTGTTGCACCTGAGCTGCCGGTGGAAGGTGAAGTCGAAGTCCCATATAGCATATACACCAGCAAAGAGAAATGGCTCATCGTAGCCATGGTTGCGTTGGCGGGATTTTATAGGTACACTCTTTCCTTTCATCTCATCTCAAGATACACACATAGAACAACAACTAACACCACCTCAGCCCCCTCCCCGCAAACATCTACTTCCCAGCAATCCCAACCCTCGCCCGCGCCTTCAACCAAACATCCGAAGCCATCAACCAAACCGTCACGGTGTACCTAGTCTTCCAAGGAATCAGCCCTATGCTATGGGGCCCCATCAGTGACCGCTACGGCCGCCGCCTCGTCTACCTGGTATGTCTTAGCATCCTCGTCGCCTCGTCCATCGGCCTAGCCCTCTGTCCAACCAGCCACTTCTGGCTGCTCCTCTTCCTGCGCTGCTTCCAGTCCGGCGGCAGCGCCAGCACCATCGCCCTTGGCGCAGGCGTCATAGGCGATATATCCACGAGCCGCGAAAGAGGCGGCTACTTTGGCATGTTCAACCTCGGTCCTATGCTCGCTCCGTGTATCGCACCTGCGATTGGAGGTGCGCTCTCGCAGGGTTTGGGCTGGCGATCTATCTTCTGGTCTATTGTCATCATGGTAGCGGTTTGCCTGCTGTGCATCGCGCTTTTCCTCCCTGAGACCCTGAGGAGCATCGCGGGTAATGGCAGTATCCCTGTGCCCCGCCTCCAACGCGCTATCCTCCCTATCGTGGGCCAAAAAGCAACGAAAGAAGCCTTCGACCCGGACTCCCGCGCTAAGGCTAAACACTCTGTTAATCCGTTTGTGCTCTTTACGTACCCTGATGTCATTGTCCTCTTGACTTTTACCGGGCTGGTCTACGCCGTCAATTACACAATCACCGCCACCATTTCTTCGGCTTTTGCAAAGATATACCCCGAGTTGTCTGAGACGGTGCTGGGGCTTTGCTACCTTCCCGTCGGTGCGGGTATGATTCTGGGCTCTACGATGACGGGCAAGATGCTGGATTGGGAGTACAGACGCATCAAAGAGCGGTGTGGTGATAACTTCACCATCGAACACGCCCGGTTACGCATAATGCCCTTCTACCTCTCCCTCTTCATCGTCTGCGTCATTGCTTGGGGTTGGACGATACAGGCTAAAGCACATATCGCCGTGCCCCTCATTCTGGGCGTTATGCTAGGCTGGACGTCGATTGGTATTCTCAACACCACCATGACACTCAACATCGATATTCTGCAATCGCGCAGTTCGGGCGCAACGGCGTGTACGAACCTGGTGCGCTGCTCGCTGGCTGCTATCTTGGTGTCTATCATCGATCGCATGGCGAGTGCGTGGGGCGATGGCTGGACGTATACTTTTTGGGGTGGCATATGTTGTTTGTTGATGCCGCTTATGTTGCTGGAGATCAAGATGGGGCCTGTGTGGCGGAGGAGGCGCGAAGCCAAAGAAGTAGAGGACGAGAAGGCTTGATCTGGTTGTTGGGGAGGAATTGAAAGAGATCGAGCAACGGTTTTTGGTTGGTGAAAAGCATTATACCCTTTTGTTGAAAGTTAGCATAGCGTTGGATAGTATCGCTGAGAATTATATTTCTTTGCAGATTTATCACATGTTTTGGTTGCTAGTGATCAGGGTGAGTCAAGTATCTTTTGGTCCTGTGCAAGAAGGGATTAGCTACACTACCAAGACCTCACTCCACCATTTTCAAGCTCTGTCCTCTTTCCTCATATCACCATACCACTACTTTTGATCGAGTCCTCAAGATCCTCACACCATCCCCTCTCATCTCCCCACCGTAAAACCCCCACCACGTCATCCTAACCCCCCCTCGTAGGCACAGGTTCCTCGCTCGTCAACGGCTCCTTCGAGACACCATCCTCCACACCATCCACACCATCCACACCATCCTCCACACCCAACTCTCCAACAGCCACACGACCAAACAATTTGTTGCAGTAATGACCAGAACGACAAGCAGGTCCGCAAGTACCCGGTGGGCATCCATAATCCGCTGCCGTTACCACAGGAGGAAGGGAAGCAGAGATTTCGTCGGGGATGTGACGGGCATTGATGTCGACGGTGTTGGTGTTGGTGTCGGTGATGGTGACGACGTAGACTGGGTTTGTTGGTTCGGGTTCTTGATGGGCGGTGGAAGGGGTAGGGAGGGTGTCGGTGACTGTGACGACGTAGACTGGGTCAGTAGGTTCAGTTTCTTGACGAGCGGTGGTGGAGATAGTGTCGGTGACCGTGACGACGTAGACTGGGTCAGTCGGTTCAGCTTCTTGATGGGCGGTGGTAGCGATAGTGTCCGTGGCTGTGACGACATAGACCGGGTTACCACTCGCTTCATCTTCTTGACGAGCCTTCATAGCATTGAAGTCGGTGACTGTGACGACGTAGACTGGGTCAATTCGTCCAGCTTCTTTAGTGTTGGTGTTGGTAACCGTAATGACCCCGACTAGATCAGTCGGTCCAGCTTCTTGACGGGCGGTTACACGCTTGACATGGGTGACCGTGACAACGTAGACTGGCTTCCCACCCGCTTCAGCCTCTTGACGAGCGTAAATATCGTTGGTAGCCGTAGCCGTCGGGGTGCTTGGAACATGACTTGCGAAAGGGCAGTCAGGTCCAACCCAACCCGGAGGACAAGACTTCGTCGGTTTAGGCGGTGAGACGACAACGCTGCAGTCGCTTCCAACATGACCAGGAGAGCAAGTCGATGTCGGCACCGCTTGCCTGGCAACAAGACGCTGAGACCGTCCTCCGAGATCCTCAGACGCGAGTCTAGGCGCATGAGTAGCCCTCGCCTGCCTTGCGACCCACCGCTGGGACCGTCCACCGCCGTAGTCCGGGGGGAAGATAGTGCTAGTCGCCATGGGCCAGCAAAAGTGTATATCAGGATTATCATCGCGGGTAAAGGCAGAGGAGTGGCAACCGCACTCATACGAGGTAGAGCAAGTAGGCTTAGACTTATCCGGTCCGCATTGAATATGCGTAGAAATCGCAGTAGCATAAGTCTTGGAGTCCCACTCGGTGATCTCAGTGCAAGTCGCAGTAGTTGGCAGGGCCTGGCGACGCTGCGCAGTGACAGAGACACGAGTCGGGCGGACGGAGTCCGAGAAACCTTCAGAGGGCTTAGGGATTTCAGAGTCCCCGGAGGTCTTGGTCTTGGATGGCTTTGGAGGCTTGTGCGTCTTGATGGACTTGGAGGTGTGGACGCTGGCTCGGGTGTGGGACTCGACTACGGTGAGCTGGCGGCGGTGCGCGGTGATGGTGCGGGTGAGCTCAGTCGAGTCGGTGGTTTCCTTGGAGGTGTAGGCGTTGGAGCGGGCTGGTGGAGTGCGCACTGTGGTGCAGTACTTGGGGTTGTTGCATGGCCTTGTTGTTAGGGTTGTCTCGCTGCCTTGGCTCATGGCGAAGCCGATGAAGCCTAGGGCGGTGAGGCAGAGAGTGGTGAACTTCATTTTGGCTGTGATGGGGTTAGTATCGAGGCAGTGAGATGTGTAGGGACTTTTTGGGCTACCTGAAGTTGATGATGTTGGGGAAAGGGAAGAGAAGTGGGTAGAGAGTGGAGAGTAGAAGGAGAGGAGCAGTAAAAGAGGTTTATATACACGTCTATTGCAATGCAGACACGACAGTCCGATCAAGACACTGCCTGGTCGGTACTCACCTCCGTTTGTGAGGATCACTTTTGCGGTAATACTGCGGTAAGAGACGTGAGTGGTCTACGCAGATGCGATGGGGCGGGGACGCCGGAGTTCGGGGTGAACCGTTTGCTGAGAGATCAGTGAGTAATCGAGCACGAAACACCTGCGACCTAATAATATGCCCAAATTACGGTGAGTGCACTCATCTCACGGCGTAAGATGACAAGACAATTTGTGTTAAATGGATCAATAACAGAGTAAATAGATTGGACGGTAAAAGGATATCCGGCCGTATTCGAGATAATGATAATGCAATACTACTCAGACTCCGAAGTGCGCAACTCTACCTGTATATCCGTGTAATAGATATGCCCCGTCTATATCAACAGACCCTGTGTAAAGTTCTCCAATGCAGCCCGATACTGCTGACTATACTCTATGATGATCTGCTGCTGGTACCAGCTATGTCGCGCATTGTGGTCGGCCACAAGATTATGCGCAAGCTCGTGACAGTACGTGCAGAACCAACTGTCCAGAGCTGTGAGTTTCCCTTCCTTAGTCTGACATCCATCGCTATGCAAGGCGATGAACCAAGCGAGGTTGAAGAACAGACTACCATTCATATTGAACGCCACCGTGTTAGACTTCTTGTCGAGGAAGATGTTTACCGCCGCAGGGTTGACGCTGAAGATTGATGTGAGGCCAAAGATGAGCGGTAGGAATTTCTGAAGGTGAGATTGCAGGTCGGTGAGCGGCGCCGTCTCGTCGCGCCCGTAGTAGATGTCGACGTGACGGCCAGAGAAAGGCACCGAGAACGCTTTATGCAGGTTCTCCCATTGTTCGCCGGTACAGTAACCTCCACGGTCAAGTTCCGTTGGGTCTTGGTGATGTTTGGTGTTGATGTTCTCCATACCAGTGGGCCGACATTCCTTAATAGCATTCTGGATGTTCGATTTCGTGGCTTGGATGTCGCGACTGATCTGGGGGCCGTCTGTACCCTTGGAGGAAGAGGAAGGTGCGCTAGGCGCGTTCTTGAAACCGAGCTTCTTCGCCCAGTTGTTGATGAGACCCTGCTCCTCTGGTTGACGGCCGTGATTGGCGATCTCCATGCCACCCTCTGGACTACCAAATGCACCAGGCATGTGCTTGCCTTTCTCGGGGGTCTCAGGTGGGATGTTTTCTCGCTCCTCTGACTTCACATGACCAGACTTGGCTTGCTCGGCAACTCGTTGCTGTTCCTCTTCTTCACGCTCTTGCTCGGCTTGCTTGGCGATACGCGCTTCATGCTCTTTCTTACGTAGAATACGCTCGACGTTGATACCCTTTTGCTGGAGTCGGCGTAGAGGCTCAGTCAAGATGCGCTCTAACGCAATCGCGTCGTTGCGCTTCGGCCGCGATACAAGTAACCTTACCAGTTCGCTTGACACCTCGTAGAGATCGTATTTCGGTGTGATGCTAAGCACGTACCCCGTGCCACGCACCTTGATGATAACAGCCGATTTACGTGAAGATGTTGCAACATTGCGCTCCGCCAGTGAGTAACGAATAGAGATATCCGACACACATTGCACCGTCAAATTAGAACCCAGCCACTTGGCGTCATGTCTGATAGCCTTTGAAGAAGCATCGCGTTCATACTCGTGAAGGAAGAGACGTACACGCTCCAGGATGTCTCGTCGAAGATCTTGAGCGGGTGTCTGGTCGCGCGCTACTGTGCCGATGCGTTGGTCAGTCTTGACCAGCTCCGAGACTTTCTGGACACCGAATCGAGCGTAGAACTCCTCGAGAAGCTCTTCCTGTGGAGCTGCGATGATGAAGTCGCGGAACCGGGTCATATAGTTAACGTTATCGATAATCACGATCTCGCCAGCTTTGTTGAGCGACCACTCGCGGTGGACGTTGTCCTCATCAAGATCATCAATGTCGTCTTCGCCTGCATCGGCGACGTTCTTACTATCCTCTTTGATATCGCGGTAGCCAAGAAGCAACCTCGATGCTATAAGTGATTTGACCAAATCCTTATCCTTCCACAGATTCGGAGCATGTTCGGCCAGCTTTCTCAGCAAATCGAGATATTTCTCTTGCCCAATGGTGTTGAGGAACCGAGCAGGATTCTTTGCGAGGAGGTACGCTAGATCATGAGTAGTCGGCTCGTGCTTTGCGCCAACCTTGAGAAGGAAGACTGTAGCTTCCGCGCCATAGTGAACGTAATCGAGGATGCCACGGTACTCTTGATCACGACCCACGAAAACATGCTCGGGTGGATCGTAGTGATGGATGCGCATCTCGGTCTTGCCAGTTTGGTTCTTGGATCTGTCTTCGAATCCGCTGCAAGCGGGGTCAAGGTAATACTTCCGAAAGATTGGTACGATGTTGGAAGTCGCGAGGTTCTGTATGAGCCCTTTGTATTGATCCAACTCGGATCCGCGCGAAGCAAGATAGGCAAACTGCATTTCTGCATCAAGCTTAGTCTTGGGGGGTGTCTTCATGAGGTATTGAACACATGGGCCTATGCTTGGATCGCGCTGAACCCCTAGCTTCTCGGCATGACTCCGAAGATCGCTTCTTAAAATGGGAAATCCTAGGCATGCTGCGTGCTCATTGGTGTAGCACTGGAACGGACCAACCAACGCCGGGAAAGGAGCCTGTTCTGTCGGCAAAATCGGAAGGGTGAGGGCAGCGAACTTCTGATGCTCTACAGCGTAGTTATTCTTGTAGTAGTTCGTTAACAGGTAATCCATCGCACGCATGTACAGCTGGAGATCCTTGGCTTGACCGGCGCGATGGAGTATGTTTGCGACGGTGATGGAATCTGGGCACTGTCGTAGTCCAAGACGCAGCAGCAATACACCCTCACGTGTAGTGGGCTTGAATTCGAAAGGCAGCTTGATCTGAGTCAGGCCTAGAGCTACAATAGCCGGGTCGGGGGCATAAAGGTCTGAAGCTTTGAACTGCTCGCCAGGTTTTACTAGAGTACCTTCTCCAGGCAAGAACGCTGTCTGCTGTAGACGACTAAGATCCTTCGCAGGTATTTCGTTTATGACCGACGCGAAGTAGCGGATAAGGTCAACGTGATTCCAAGTCGGCTTCTCGGATTTCTCGGACTGTTGCGCGTCGCGACTGCGCATTCGATCAAACACCATAGGAAGATCGATGGTCTTCCGAACACCGAGCGCCAATAGGAACTTCTCCTTTGAGCCTGCAAACGGTGTCACGGTTGGCAGATCGTCAAAGAGCTTAACAGTGGGAAAGTACGACTCCGCCGGGCGTCGCATGCCCATCTTCGTCGGCAGGATCGTGTGTGGGGTCAGGATCTTGACAACCGTCTCCTTGGAATTTCCATCGAGTTGTTCCCAGCACTTGGATGTCAGTGTTAGCACAGAGAGAGCAAGGTTCTCGTCTTTGGTGAAATCGTCTAGCTGCGGGCGTGTTGTCATGTGTCGAAGCCAGCGAACCATTGACAATTCCACCCAGCCGAAAAGTTGCAGTTGTTTGATCGACATGCCTCTGGTGAAGGAGAAAGGAATAGTGTCCGGTGGGAGAGGTAGGTGTGCACCGATACGCGCTGGGTTAACGAACGTGCCAATGTCGCCCAAAGCGAGTATCCTGCCAGAGTTCTTTTCTGGCTCAATGTCGATGTTAGCGATCGTGTTTTCGAACAAGCTACGAGAGCCGGGCACATCAATTTCGCCGCTTTCCAGCTTGGATCCACACCACTTAAGAAACTCGGAAAGCTCATCTTCGCTGAGTGCTCGTGATTCTAATCCTTGACGAATATCCTGCATTGTGAGCTCTGTGATGAAACCGCGATTGTGTAGATTGAGCATAAAGTCGACTGCTGCATTCGCGAGTTCTTGTGGGACCATGGGTACTTCTCCCAGGAAACTTAGAGTTTCTGCAGGCATACGCACACGCTTACTGGACATGACGCCCTTGGTCGAAAGGATGTCGATGGATCGTTCCTTCGAGCAATTCCAGAACGCCTCGTCGATCTTATCTCCGAGGGATGTAGAAGGGTGCGATGATTTGGCCGTGTATTGTTTGAATACGTAAGCAGTCTTCGTGATCAAAGTCTCTATGGGTTCCTTGCCGAATTGGGTCTGTAAAGCTGCCAGTTCTGCTGCGTAGGTGATGCGACAGGCCAACCCTGCAACGCGCAGAAGCTCAATATTCCAGGTAGAAATATAGCGAGCGTTCATGTCGACATTCTCGCGCTCAACCGTCGGGATGAGAGATGGCGCAGAGATGTGCGCGAGGTAGCCAGTCGTCTGGGCAGTCGGAAATCCGATAAAGATTCGTCCAGATTTTGTCGGAAGAACTTCTGCAAAGATCTTGTCGGCAAGCGCAGCTGAACTGCCAGAGCCCGTGGCCAGCGTGGCTGACGGATCTTGGTATGGACAAGTCAAAAGAGCGATTTTGGTCGTCTTCGGAGGTGACTTCTTAGTTGCGCGCTCAATCTCCGCAGCGAAATTTCGTGAGACTTTAGTGGCTGCCACCACAGTGCATACTTGCAAGAAGATGGTGCCAGTCGAATCGCCTGCTATCTCTTCAATCGTATTGGTCTTCTCGGCCGCGGGTTTGACGTTCTTCGTGGGCGGCGGAGGAGGCGCCGATGCGAATTTTGAGAAGAAACTCCGTAATGAAGTACCTGCGTTGCGAACTTCTTGTTGTACGAGGTCGGCAGCTTTCTTTGGGGGTATCTGAGCAGTAGCAATGACGTTCATCCAGGCCGCATCAATTTGAGAGTGCTGTTGCGTAACATCAGTCACCCGCATCAAGCCGCCTTCGGTCTCAGTCTTCAGTCCGTTAGGCACACG